AAAAAAAAAAAAGTGTACATTATGCTATTTTTTATGTTTTTTCAGGTGATACTGGACCAATGGTAGCTGCAACTTTGAAACTTGGAATTGCTATCTTAAACGGTGGCAACTCCACAGTACAGCAGGTAATGCCTTTAAGCCAACCCCAGAAAGTGCTCTTCAAACAGATGGACCATATCGTCATCCCATTAAACTGTTCTAGTCATCCTAGAAGAACTATTAGTTGTAAAAAAAAAAAAAAAAAATGCATTTATTTGATGGCCATTTCCTCCCATGATTCAAACATCTAGGCCACACCCTGCCATGTGGGGCACTAAAACGCTCTTGAGAAGTCTGAAGTCCTATCAGATGGTGTCATCATGTGAAATTTGCATTTCATGTGAATAAATCAGCACGAAATGGTTTGTTTTAATAGTGGAGAAAAGTAAATATTCTTACCTCAGGAGCCTAGTTTAGCAACATGTTTTATAGTGTTATACCGTCTCTCTCATATTTTTCTGTATCGGCTTCTGTAATGAGAAAGAACAGTTTACGAACATGGAACTAATAACCATTGTTTCTTGGGTAAGTTTTGGCGAGGCAGGGAAAGGCCTCCCCTATCAGGAAGGGCGGGGTAGGAAGGGAAGGCTAATGAAAACCTTAGGATATTTGACTTCAGGTTGCTGTGAGCCCCAGAAACACGACAGTGGGACAAAGCCCTGAATATGTTCCCAGAAGACCTTTGATTCTAAGAAAAGCAGAGAAAATTTGAAGGTTGCCTTTGGGTTGGTGAAGACTTGGACTAGGTTAAGTTAGCAACCCAGAGTAGCTGAAAAATTCGTCTTTACGTTTTTCTCAAATTGCGTGCCTCTTTTTCTGCAAATACAATTGTGACATTTTCAGATTAGAGGAGTGTATCAGTCTAATTTAAGCCAGGGTGCCTAACTTTTTCTTTTTAATGCCTCTGACAGTTTAGTGAAGCATCTGGACTCCTCTGGTGTCATGTTTTTAAATTGCAAAGTGAAATTGCACAGGTTTACACAAGAAACCACACCTTGTGAAATGTGGTTATGCAAATATTATAAACAGGTTTTTGATAAAGTAGTTTGTGTTCCTTTATGAACTCATTAAATAAAAGATCTAGTACTTGATCTAATTATTGAGAAGAAATGATTAGTCTAAATATTTTTAAATCACTTCAACAATGACTGTGATACGAAGATCTCTGAAATTTCTATTGGTGATGATATCAGAGTCTGTTGCTTATATTAATAGTTGAAAGGAATGCTAAGTTTCCATTAGAACTTAGTGAAAATAATGTCTTTTTTCCCCATCCACTTTACAGATGTCCTTTTTTGATTTCCATAGCAAATGACTACATGACTTAAATAAAAAAAAAAAAGGAAAACTGAAGAAATCTACCTCTATAATATTTAGCACAAAATAATTTCCCTTTATGTTTTACTTCAAAAGTCCTTAATTTTATAGCACATAGATTCAGAAATCCTTGGAGCTGAAAGGAGCCATGAGAGATCATGTAATACACGTACTTGTCTACACAGGCTTTTCTTTTTTCTGTACACCTTCAGATACATATTCTACCACCTCCCTTTAACTCTGAGCCATATTCCTTGTGTTTTAAACTTCCAGTGATTAATAAGTGCTTCATGTTTTATTAGACCAGTAACTTATCACACTCCCCCCAAAATGGCCAGGTGTTTGTGTGTATCTCGGTGTGTACTTATTTGTGTGTATGTGTATATACATGTGAGGTGTATATATGTAATACACACACACGCACACAGCCTTTACATATTTAGTAACTCACCTTTCACTCAAATTTCTGGAAACCAGATTACTACCAAAATGTTGACCCTTTTAGCTCAACCCTATTTAGACGGCACTGATAATAGGAATTACTCACCTCTATTCAAGATTCAGAGAAGAGCAGTATCTTTATTTTCTTCAAACCTTTGGTGTGCCTTCTATCACTCTATCATCTTGTGGGTACTTCTTGTTCAAAACTTCCAACACATTTGTTCCACATTCAAAGCAGCTGTTTCATTGTAATATATAATAATAAGCTAAGAAGGTAGAGCCATGCATTGTTCTCGCATTTTTTACTTTTATGTTTAATCAAAATATTGATCACAGAATCTGGACATCATTCTGACAACAGAGCAGAAAAATTTAATAGTCAAATGATTCCTACCATTCCTTGGGTTTAGAGATCATGATAATGGAAACTAAATTTCTGTCTATAACATTAGCATATGGTAGTCAACACTACCCGCATTTAAGGACCCCACTTTTGTATGGAAATCTACGACTAGCATCTTCGTGGACCTTCTTCCCAGTAGGCTTGAACTAAAAAATCTGAATCTTCAAATACTTAAAGAGTGACTAGAAGAGAGTTAAGAGTATTATTTTTCCCCCGATATTCATGGTGCTTATGATGTTTATGTAAAGCAACTCCCTTGTTCTGAGCCACTTTTATTGACATTGAAATAGACAACCATCCTGCCTTGACATGCTCATCACTGTTTCATGGTAAAGTTACAGTCATATTTGTATGCACTGAGTGTTTTTTCATCTTTATTCCAGCATAGAAAGCATATTTTAGTTGTTTCTTATTTGACAAAAAATGAGATTTGTGTTCAGTGGTCCTGTGGTTTATATATTTACTATAGAAAATGCTTGACTACCTCAAGGAGAAAAAGGATGTGGGCTTCTTTCAGAGTCTGGCTGGTCTGATGCAGTCATGTAGGTAAGCACACACCTCCCTTGTTTTGGTTCTACTCAGTGGATTGTATCTTTCAAAGTTTTTGTTTTGCATTGCTGACACTAATGATACAGAGAATATTTTTTAATGATTAAGTACACATTAAAATGGGACAATAGAGGGTGTCTTATTTTCTGTCTTGTTGTTAGCTGTTAGTAATGTCTTAATTATTAACGTACTCACTGTTAATGATGTCTTGTAATAGTCTTCCCTATGATTAAATAGGGACCTTGGGGAATTAATGTGTATTCTGCATACTTGAAAATGAGCAGTGTATGAATTTTAAAAGAGGAAAAGGAAAATTCTGATGAGTTTTATTTGGGAGCTTGTAGACCATTTCTCATTTTCCCTAAATAAATGATCCTTCACCATCTAATTTATGATAATCAGTTTCTATTTTTTACAATACTTAAAATCATTCAGACAGCATTTGACAAAGGAATCTGACAGATACTTAATGTAATAAGTTATCCAGCTGGAAAAACATGATTATTTTATAATTATATTTCAGTGTGTCTGCTAACTTTGTAATGTACATCCAAAGTTGAAACCCATTAATGCCTTATGTTTGCCTTTCACACGGATCATTTCAGTGCAGACCCTGGGGAGAAACTGGGCTGCTACTAGGGAAGTATGTTTGGTAGACATTGAATTGGGGCATGTCTTCAGTGTATGTTAATATTTGGTTTGCGTTTTGTGATACACGCTTTGTAGACACTCGCTCTCCTGAAGAAAGAAGATTTTCTATTCGTCCTCTAAGTGTCTTTCTCCCTGTTATTGTAGTGTCCTCGACCTAAATGCATTTGAGCGACAAAACAAAGCTGAAGGACTTGGAATGGTGACCGAGGAAGGATCAGGTATTGATCACTTAAATTAAAAGGATCAACTGCCCCCCCTTTCCTGAAATGAGTCAGTTACCAATTACCTTTTCAATACAAAGAGATACAAGGTTATTTTTAAGTAGTGGCCAAATGCTTATGTGATTCATTTAAAAGTTCATAATTGCACACTCCCTCAGATCACACCCAAAACTCAACCTTCCCTGTTGGCCATTAACTCTTTTTTGTTCCAGACCTACTGTAAGTCACCTTTCCCCTGGTTGGGTGGTAGATCAAGATCCCTTATTAGATAATGAATTATCTGTAAAATTATAAAGCACATGGATGAACCAAATTAGAGAATGTTTGACTTCTTGTGGCTACTTTGGCAAACTGCCCAACTCTCAGATTCTTCTGTCTCCTTAGAATAGTGATGCTTTGCGATCCTTCCATTAACCATTATTTCGACCGTCTCCTCCCTTTTAGAACAGATATCTCATACATCCATATGTCTTTGCAAGTCCAAATTTGATGAAAATAATTGAGTCATTTTTAATGTTTAAATAATCCTGATCACTTAATTTACATGTGCACAAATAGAATGACTCACATAATCTTAGAGTTTTTTTTTCTCTGTAAATAGATGTGCGTATAAACTAGAAAATTTAGCACACAGGACATTTAAAGCAGAAATAACTATTGCTGCACTTTCATTTCAGTATTTATTAAGAAAAAAATCTTCAATATTTTTTGTCTTGATTTGCTTTTATTCTTTTGCGTTGACTTTTTTCAATTAATTTAGCTTCAGTGAGGCCCTGTGTGTTTATCTGTTTTTGTTTGCTTGGTCTTGTTTGGAGTGGTCATCTTATCAATATATTAGTTTTGGAGCATCAGATCTTTGATAAAACTAATCTTGTTGCAAAAAAATAAATTTTATCCCATCTGCCATTTGTAGTCTGCTTACCTTTCTGAAATATTTTAGAAATAACTAATCTCTCTAATTATTTCCATATATTTTTGTTCTCACAATAGGTGAAAAGAATTAGCCGCATATTTCTTACCATTTTCTAAAAATTATCACTTATGTATATTCTAATGCTTCTACTACTATACACCTCCTGTGTGCTTTTGTTTTCTACTTGACATTTGAATGTATAGGTTCAATCATCAACTGTCAGTCCTACAGTTACCTAATTGTGTTAGCTAACTTGAAGAAAAATTGCCAGCAGCAATCTAAACTTAAATTTTCCCCGAAATGAATATCCAGCTAAATCTCTTCATTATTAAGGGTTGTGTCAACAGTTCTAACACCCAGCCTTAGGGCACCATCTAGAGAATTCAGAGTCGTTACAAATCTCAGGGCCCATTACCTGCCTGCCTCTGGGGTCTCCAGGAAGCCCTGGGCATTTTCCTTTAGCTGTTAAGTGCCTGAAAATGAATGAATTCTCTGTCCAAAGTCTGACTTCCCTGTCTTGGAATTAGAAATCAATTTCATTTTTCCCTACAGTTATTACTTAATGTTCCAGAGGCATGAACACAGGCCCATTAATCATTCTTCATCATTGTTCATATCGGCTCACACAGGACCAGTGGCCCCCGGCAGGCTTAGTTTACTGGGTCTCCTGTCCTTTGTCAGCCAGATACGGATTGGAGTAATATTCGTGAGTCCCAGCTCAGAAATCGCTTGGTGAGAATGACCATTCTGATGCGAGAATTAGTCCCATCTCTCACTGTGAGATTGATTTGATTTGTTTATTCTTTTTCAACACACACAAATAATTGCCCAAACTGATTAACACTTTTTCTATTTTACTTCCTTACAAACAGCAAGGCAAAAACAACATCTCAACTTCTTTTTTTCCCCATTTCCTTTTCTGTCGACTGTAAATGTACTTTCCTCCCTTCCTCAGTCATCACACATGAGCGTGGTAATTATTACAAATGATCTGCCTTTTCTTTATTTGCTCCTTCATTTGTCCTTAGCTTTGTGTAGTCCTGACAGTAACAGTTTTTTTGTGTGTGCATTTCTTCCTTTTATAGACTGTTTAAAGAATAGGTCATTTCATTTCCATCATTATGCATCCTTTTATTTTGAAATTCATATACCAAGCTTTCCTTTTTATTTCTTTCCATGAGGATGTGCAGTTATTAACATATTAGCCATGGAGGGGCGAGAAGCATTTCAGTTAACGTTTTTGGATTTGTTTTGTTCCGTTTCTTTCGTTTTGAAAAAATGCTGGTGGACCCAGTGTTTGCAACTGTTGTGTAAATGAATGAATCATAGATGTGTGCAGTAGTCTCCCTGTGGCATTTCTGTCTTGGACATACTGTGGCTTTATGGCTGCACCAATGGGTGCACGGGAAAATCAGTGGTGATCCGTTTGGGTGTGGGGGAGACTGGGACTGGCTGAGTCTCCTTGTGGCCAGGGGGCTCTGACAGTTTCCTTCCAAATGTTGAGAGATCTACAGAGTTTTACTCCAGTCCTTTGAAAACATCACACATTAAAAACCTTCTTAACATAAAAACTGTTTTTCATTCTTGAGACTGAATTCGAAGTCGGGTAGAAACAGTTGCAAACTAATGTAATAACAAATTGTGCTCTCTGAATATTCAGTCTTGCCTTTATCAAGAGGCCAATTAGCACACACGATGGTAATTCAGTCGCTCTACGAATAATATACTTCCCAAATTAAGAATACCTAGAGCAACTGTGTCTTTTGGCATATTTTTAAAATTTCTGTGACATGCCCATTCTTTTGTTTAAGGGTCTACAGAAGTTAACAAAAGTTTGTACCCTCATAGAAGAAGGAAAATTGATCATCCCTCCCAGAATACATAGAGAAGTTTGAAAAATCTCAATCTGTTAGTGCTGTTGTAGCTTCAGAGCCTGAGGCCCAAACAGTATAAACTCAGCCCTGAGCAAATAATCTGATGATCTAACTTTTCTCCATCCTAACCAGCTGTCTCTATTAGGCTAAATCTCTTCCTGATGATGATAAGAATGACTGTAAATTATATAGCCATGCCAAGTGTTTAATTTAAATATACCTTTTTGATACCTACAACCACCAGTAAGATATTGTCCCCATTTTATAGGTAAAGAGACTGAGGGGTGGAAAGGTTACATGGCTTATCCACTACACAGTGTAATGGCAGGATCAAGACTGAAATGCAGGCCTTCTGCCCCCCACTGTTACCAATTGCATAAGCCAGTCCCTTCCTCCATCTTTTAATATCTTCCCGGGGCTTATTTTATACTCACCGTATTGGGTTAGGTAGTATTTTTTGCTTCTTTACTTATTGCTCATTCCTCCCTTCAAAGACACTAATCTATTGCTAACTTTTGCACTTAATGTTGAAGTTGTAAAATCACTTTGGAACTTTGTATGATTACACGTGATACTCCTAATCTTGTTTTGAGATACCATTGGGAAATACATGCCTTTTTAAAGTTGGTATGTAAGGATTTCAGACTAATCATTTAACACTCCTTTTTCCACTGCTGTTACCATCATGTAAGTTTGCCAGTATTACTATCCCTTCTTCCTAAATTTCCCCCGTTTCTACAAAAGCCAGGACCACCCACTTGTTTAAAAACAAAACAAAACAAAAACCAGTTTTCCTTGGCAGGTGTGTTTAGTAGATTTGTGATGTGCTCGGTGTTGTCCTCTCTGTATATTTTTTAGTCATATGTGTTTTCCTTTAACATATAATGAAGTTCAAAACCAAAAACCTATATGAGTATTTAAAATTTCATTCCATCCTTGGATTTTTTTTTTTTTCTCAGAACCATTAAACCTCATTAAGAAGCCATTATGAGCTTGAAAGTGCAATTTTTCTTCTATCAAACTTCTTGGAATGTAGTAGAAGATATTTTATTTTTTGATCCTTTTGTAGTGGTCCTAGACTTTATCAGCAAGATGAAATCTTGAAGCTGATCTCATCCCTCAGAAATTGTTTGATTTTTAAAAATTCTATATTAAAACATTAACTACCAATTAACCTTTCTAAGTTTCCATCTGCATCTGATAATGTGCTGAATTGAGGTTCTTACTCGGTGTGTTTATAGTGACCTCATCAAGTTTGTATGCAGTTGCAGCAAAAGAATTGTTAATTAATCAAAACAATAATTAACACAATCTCTCAATATTGGATGTCCTAATTTTTTGTTAGCAGTGAAGTTACTTAGTACTTTAATTATTTATTGGCTATCTCCCACCCCAGGTTTGCAAAGTCCGACACAAGTGTAGTTCTGCTTACCCCCCGAGTTCTGACTACACTGCTCTGCCCTTCTTTTGGGTCAAGTTTCTTTTCAAGGAAAGCCTGTGATGTTAATTCATGACACTAAATAGATTTTTCTAACATCCCTGCACAATTTTTAAACAGTAAAGCACTGACCAAAATTTGAGTGGCTATTGTGTGCTAGATGCTGTCCTAGGCATTGGAGTTCTTTATGGGCTCAGCGTCGTATAGACAGACTTGTAAACAAGTAACTTCGAAACCCATGATCTGTGTGTGTATGAGTAAACTGAGTTGAAGTACTTGACTGCCAGGCTCATGGGGTAAGGATCACAGGAGAAGTAACAGATGGCCTGAAGTAGGTGTTTACCTGGTAAAGAAGGAAGGCAAAGGAAGACATTTCAATGGAAGGGAACTGCATATGCAATGCTGAAGGTACAAAGCATGACAAAGAACATCACTGACCTAATATGGTTGGAGAGAAATAGACTAGAGGGGAAAGATAGTTTGTGGGACCCCGTGAAAGCCTTTTGTGCCATGCCAAGGAATTCCATGCTTCCTTTCTGAGGCCACGAAGAGCCATTAGGTAAGTAACACATCAGTAGTATCCACCTGACAGTAAGTTCCTAGCATCCATTGTTCAAACCAGCAACATTAAAGTGCACAGATTACTCATTCCTCAGTAATGCTAGCATACTAAATAGACCCTCAGTCTTCCAAAGATAGTGAGCAGCATGATTTCCTTCATGGAAGTTGTGGAGCTTTGAGGTTATTATGTTTAGTGATAGATTGAGGGAATTTTTGAGAGTATATTTTTCGTAATTACTGTTAAAAGAATCTATCTGTTTATTGGGAGAGTGTTATAATTAAATTGCCTACGAGTGTTGTAGGCAAGAATGCACAAGATGGATATCACAATCTGAGGGTAGGGAGATCAGTTAGGATGTTGGTGGATGGAACGGATGAATGAACAGTAAGGATTCCAGATAGAGTAATGTGAGCTGAAAGGCATTAAGAAGAGGTTATAAGAGAAATAATTTGCAAATCACATTTGAAAGCAAAGGGATGTCTTCTTCCATAGCTAACATGTACTTTGATTCTGTTATCCAAGGGGCATACCTAATTTATTTCACATAGTGGTCATTTTTGCTGTCTTGGGATCTGAAAGAGGAATACATTTTATGCACTGGTGTCAAGATGAGTTCATGGAATATGTAGATTATTTATTACATCCACAACCCACTGAAAGTCTATATTTTAGAAACCCAGGTCTTCTGAACCTATGACTTCATGTTGTTGAAATGTCACTTTTATTCCTATTGTGCTTTGCATATTTCAAAGCAATTATACTTGCTCAAACCAATTTTATTCTCCCAACAACCCTATAAAGTAAGGAGTTCTGGAGATTGTTAATTCGCATATCAAAATGATGAAACAGAGGCTCAGAAAGGTGAATTGACTTTCCCAAGGCCACATATCTGGAAGATGGGTTTCCTTAGGTTCTAAAATTGATTAAAAACAAGTAGGAGTTCACAATTTAGCTAACATATGGTACATGTAGTCAATGATTGTTAGCCAAAGAGCTTATCGATTACTGATGTGAGCTTTAGGAAGTTTAGAAACTATAGAATACTGGACTCAGAAAGACCTTATGATATTGAAATGACCTGTTCATTGCCTATCTTTTCCATTAGACTATAAACTTCAGGCTCAGGTTTGTGTTTGTTAGTCTTTATATGCCCAGGACCTCACAAGGTGCCTAGCGTATAGGTGACACTTAATGTTTATTGAAATTTACTGAACTCAAACCCTTTACTAGTTAATAGCTATAGGACCTTAGTCAAGTTACTTAATTTCTCAATTGTTCACTGAACCACAAGATGGGATTCATGTCACCCGATTCATAGGATTATTGCAAACCTGAAATGACATGATGAGAAAATATATCTAGCACAATGCCTAGCGCACTGTAGTCACTAAACGTTAATCGTGAATCCATTTAAAAAATTGTATCCTTTGTTGGTTGAGTGGTAGTATAATTTAAGCAGCCAGTTAAACCATTTAAGTGGTAACATTAAAATCACCCACATGGAATCAAATACCTGACTTTTCACTATTTAAAAATATTTTTATCCTAATCTTTCAGTTTTGCCATTGCATAAAATAGGTATTTGAGTCCTCTGAAGATCAACGATCAGAATTATTTCTTCCATGGCAGTGGCAGGGTGGGGGCTGGTGGGGAAACACTGTTGAGTACCACTTAACAAGCTTTTGTAGGGAGTTCTTTGATGCAACCAGTCTTCCATTCCATGCTTCTCACCCTTTTAGCTTTCCATTACTGGAGATGTTGCCATGAAAAGACCTTACAACAAAGAGGATCTTAGTCTTCTGGTTTATTTATCCTAATTCAGTTGTTTTTATATATCTACTAGGTAGTCTTTTCACTCATCGCATTCATTTTTTTTTAGCAATTGTTGATAACTTTTAGCAATTAATAACAATTAAGCCAAGCCCCTCAAGGCCACAGTGTTGAACTATGACCATCGATGTTTTAGGTAACCAATAAAATAAGCACTTAAGCAAACCCTTGTGTACTCTTCTATTAACTAGATAAACCAATAGTGAGTAGAACAGTGACCTTTAAAATGATAGATTTTTAAGGGGTGCTTGGGTGGCTCAGTCACTTGAGCATCTAGCTCTTGGTTCCATCTCAGGTCATGATCTCATGGGTCGTGAGATGGAGCCCCACACTGGGCTCCACACTCAGTGGGGATTCTGCTCGAAGATTCTCTCCCTGTGGCCCTCCCCTTACTTGCTTTCTCTCTCGCTCACTCTCTCAAGTAAAAAATAAATAAATCTTTAAAAAAATAAAAAGGGATTAGGTTTTTAAAGTAGGAATTAATTTTACTGATAGCTTGAACAAAAGAAAGTCTACTAATATTGTTTCCAAGTGAAAATTTATGTTTTTGAGAATATTTCGCTCCATTAAAATTGGCTTTTTGGAAATAATAAACACATTTAATAAATATGTTCAAATAACCGTATTCATCACCTAGGCATGTTGTTCCCATCTTTATTTGGTGTTACTGCCACTTCTACTAATAATTGTAACCTTTCCACAATTTCTAAAAATGGTCTCACAAATTATGAAGAACTAGTGAGGTAGACAGTGCACATGTTCTCATTTCATAGATGAGAACACCGAGGCACAAAAAGACCATCTCATCATCAGCAACAGTATTGAAATAACTCTCCCTTTATCACAGTATTAGCAATCGTAAGCCCGTTATAATTAAAAATGAAACCAAAGGAATGCCCTTTATCATATTCACATTTGGCCATCATGCAGCTATTACAAATAATATTTTAAGAACATCAGAGCACTTTCAACTACATTTTACTCCATTTCGTTATGTTATTAATCTTGGTTTCCATCTTACAATGCAATTTCTTTTGCATACATCACAAAATAGACTGTTGATCCTGTACCTTCTGCAGACATAAAGCCATCATCCATCTCTGTTACTGTACCACTTACATGCAGCATGGGGAATGGCAGCATTTTAATCAGATAGTAATGTGTCCGTTAAGCAACAGCACCCCAGTTTATACCTCATATGACCCTATGGTAAATAAAGGGTTGGCCGCCCCCCTCCCCCACTCTCCTCTCCCTGTTGTTCTGCTGTGTGCTGCGTGTTCTTATGTGAGTAAAGTTACTTGTATGTGTTTTGGCATATAGTCATGAAAATACTGTGCATGTGGACAATAAATACAGCCTTATGTTACAAATCAGTGTGCATTGTGCAGAGCATTTTTAGGAACACAGGTAGACTATATGATATTTTTTTTCATTGTTAACCTTTCTGATTACTTTCTATCAAAGGTTACTTATTCCACATTGAGTATATGAACATTGAAAGTACATGGCCTATTGATGCAATTTTCTAGGGGAAAAAAAAACATTTTAGATGGGCTCACAAGGAGAGAGTCAATAAGTCTGTGTAACTAGCTCATAATATTTTGATTTAAAGATCATGTTAAAGTCTTCTGATTCAAATAGTTCATGGAAAGATAGTAAGTATCATCAGTGAAGAGTTTAGTTTATTAGCCTAGACTGTTCTCCCTTTCTTTTCTATACCCCGCCATGAATGTAGACACTGAGGAATGGGCTTATCAGCCATGGACTGAGATTCACAGCAATGTGCACTTAAACTTGAACTGGCCACATGACTAATCTGTATGCATGGTGATTTTAGTTTGATCACCAAATATCATATCTTGCAGGGAAACCAGTACAGTGATTTTATGTACTTTTTTTAATGTTTATATTAGTTTTCAAAATGGTTTTGCTTCCTAACCCTCCCATTATATGAAGCCTCTCACTTTGAAAGTCACAGACTGCAGACTGGTAAGTCCATCAGCTCTCTGTCCTTATAATCATTCATAATTTATTTAAAGTAAACACATGGTCATTGCATAGTTTTCTTTCTTGGCCCAAAGTATTTCCTCCAGTCTGAAAAGTTATTTCATTTTTTTTAAAGACATAAGTACATTCATCCACTTGCTGAACAACATTTTTGTGTCATTTTGATTTCTAAACAACAAATTTAGATGCCAGAGCGTACACTCATAATGTTGAAAATTTTTCCACTGACACTCTATGCTTTTAAAATCAACTTTCATTTGTGTGGTGCTGTTTTTCTGTTTGTTTCTTTCTTTGTGTTTTTGCTTTCAGAGTGACTTGTGATCAAGATACATTTTGATTGAAATGTAGGTAAAATATCTGAACCCTTTTCTGAGGTGTCATGCTTGCCCCACAAATACAGTTTTTTTTTAATGGTGCTGAGTGGCTTCTGTAGCTCTAAGATAGCCTTCTTTTCATCTTTCCTGCTTAGATTTACTCACAGAGCATGAGCCACCAAAGTCTTTCTTTTGGTTTAATATTTATAATTAGGTCTGTTCACCAGTCCTCTCTCCTCTGGAAGTAATGCTCCAACCAATGAAGTCTCTATATCAGATTTCTGAAGCCCTTACTTTTTTTAAATCCATAGGCAAGTTAATGAGACTGTGAATTGAAATGAATTAAGGAACATTTTCTAGTCATTTACAATTTCTACAAGATTGTTTTAATTATTCTTTAAATAAAAGAAACTCTTGGCCCTGTTTTCTATATGCATTGAATGCCTTTGCATTTTGAATCATGTTTGGTCATACTCCGGGAACAAAGCAGACTTAACTTGGGTGTTTTTAAGAGATGGAGAGATCATTCCTAGACACACATTACCAAAAAAAAGAAAAGAAAAAAAAAAAGAAGAGTTTAAATCTTCAGGTTGTTTCTAAAATGTTGCCAAACCCATGCTGCTACTTTTAACAGAGAGAAACTTGAGTTTTAAGATTCAAATGTTCTTTTCTGACAAAGAAAAAGTGCATCTATCTGCCAAGCGCATGATTGTATGAGCTTCAGATAGAAAAGTGGCTATGATTTGTGACTGTTTTTGGTTCAGAACAATGCTAGATCAACATGCAAGTTTTATGGAGGTGGGGATAGAAAGGGAGGGCCAGGCCAGGGTCGTTGATCATGTCTGATTTCTCTGGACTTTCTACAGGAGAAAAGGTTCTCCAGGATGACGAGTTCACTTGCGACCTCTTCCGCTTCCTACAACTGCTTTGTGAGGGACACAACTCAGGTGCGTGAGACCCCGGACTATGTGATGGTACCAAGGAATCAGAATTTTGAAACCAGAAATGACAGGGGCCTGCTAGTTCTAATTACACTTCATCCCTGAGTCAACAAACAATCTTGGCCTTCTTCCATATGTTTGGTATATGCAGTGTGACATTTTATGTATTACATTCCTACTTTCTAAAGTCCTTTGCTAGCTGGCCACTTCCCTTGATTCCCACCAGTTGTTCTTCTGTTAGAGAAGACAGGTGGAAAAAAGATATGCATGAGACAGATATCTACAGAGAAATATAGAGCTTTATTTCTTTTATACCACTTCTCTTCAACTGGGGAATCTACTTCATTGTATTACTTGGCACAATGTATTTTCCTTTGTGGTTAATAGAAATAGCTCTCTCCCGGACTGGTGCACCTGTGTAGGCAGGAACTGTATCTTAATTTTATCTTTGTTTCCCCAGCACTGAGCACAGTACTCAGGAACAAATGATTCTTGAATACATAATTTAATTACTATACCCTAAAGGACGGAGCCCCTTCCAGCGATTCACATGCCCATAGCTCTAGAGCTAGCAATCGGGAAACAAGTGTTAGCTACCTCGTAGACCAAAAATTGAATATTGATATTCTGTGAAGCACCTCGATGTGGTTGGGATGCCCACTTAAAACAATCCTCTTGGATAAAGCACCACTCTTAGCCCCAAGGATTTTGCTGGAAACCTCATTTGCTTTTGGAGTTCTTCAAGTATCTCATTTTAAACCATTGAGGAAGCTTTTGTAATGTCTTTTGATCTTATGTAGATTTTCAAAATTATCTGAGAACTCAGACTGGCAATAATACAACTGTCAACATAATCATCTCTACCGTAGACTACCTCCTGAGGGTCCAGGTATGTTGCCTTCTGTTAGGAAGAAATGGAAGGGATTGGTTAGTTGAAATAAGGGGACAGAGTTATTAAACTGACGTGTTGTAATGTGCTTTGATGGATGACTAGACAGAATTTTTTGAGATACTTTGTCTTTGATCATAGCCTTTCACCAAGTCTTAGGGTGAAACTGCTCCTTTTGTCTTTGCCTTCATCCTGGCTCCTCCTTTGCTCATTATTCTTTCTGTAAGTGGGAATTTTTCCCCCCATAGTTTTTAGCCTGATTGCATTTTAAATTCATTTTGTTTTTGCAAAGTATTTACATGCTCTGCTCCTTCTGCTACAGTTGATAGATAAATGGGGGAAGAGTATTTGAAACATTTTCAAAAGGGAGAAAGAAAGGCTTTCAAAATACCTACAATATACTTAAATTTAACAGGTAGTTCTTTTCAGCTGTCCCGATACTTGAATTAATTTTAAAATTCAGCTTAACACTCCATCACTTAAGAATCTCCTTGATTTTGTAGTAATCTTTCACATGTTAATAAAACTGAATCTGAAGGCGTAGGCTCCTAAGTAATGGGAGCCCTGTACAAATTTTATTTCCCTCATCTTATTTGTAAGAGCAGCCAGATACAGTAGTTTAAAACCTGCACGTTCAAACTTTCAGTTTCTCCCTTAATCTTTTGAATATGTAAAAGCACAATATTTTTTTTACCCAATGCTTCCATTTTTGAAGCAAATTACAAAAAATATTGCCAAAAACACATTAGTCGTTTTTAAAATCATCTCAAAACCCAAATGTAGCGTGTGCGCTGGACTACCTTGTGTTATTCCTTTAGCCAACTAAAATTCCTTCCAGTGTAAGTTATGGTTGAAAACATCCTGTTTAAAAAGGTTGATCCTGTTTAGATGTTTGTTTATGGTTGTTGTCAGTGTTTTTAAGTAGTCTAATCAGTTTCTTGAGGGACATTTATAGAAACAAGGAACGTTTTGGAGTTCTCCTGAGGAAACGTTATGGGCTTTGTTGGAGAAAAAGGCCTGATGTCTGTAACCCAGAAAACATCCATGATTTGTCTAATTTTTGTGCTTACGTAGTAAACATTTAACTTTGCTCAATGGATAAATATGCATTAATCTTGTGAATCCTTACGTCTGTGAAGTTTAAGGTCATCAGAGACAGAAAGTCATTTTTAAAAAAGCTAAGTTTTCTGCTGCTTCTCTCCAGCTGTTATTTCTGTCTAAGGAGGACAGGTTAGTGGTAGCTTTAGAGTCTATCTTAACCCTATCATCCCTCTTTTCCAGGAATCCATTAGTGATTTCTATTGGTATTACTCTGGGAAAGATGTTATTGATGAACAAGGACAACGGAATTTCTCTAAAGCAATTCAAGTAGCAAAGCAAGTCTTTAACACTCTCACAGAGTATATTCAGGTAAACATTTAAATATTTCTGCTATTTGAAGAAAAAAAATAGTCAAGTGGTTAGCTTTGAATTCCATGGAAAAATAACAATATGACTACTTTCCTGCCATGATTCACATTTGCTATTAACCTTTCATATAGATTCTTAGCCAATGATGACAATTAAATATCAGGTTGAGATGTGAATTTGTATGGACTGAATTTGCTTTACTGTGTGGCAGATCAAGATATTGTTGACTATTGTATCTCTAGGGCCTCGTATATATATTAAGCACTCAGTAAATATTAAAGAAAAGAGGGAGGAAAAAGAAAGAAGACGGGAAAGAGAAAGGACAGAGCACTAAATTACTCTTTATTGTGTTCCAGTAAAACTAAGGAAGGAGTTTCATAGAAACTTCATGTAAAAGAGAATAGTAAGACTTCATGTTAGAACACATATGTGTGTGAAGGCACATACACACACATAATGTAAAATCATATAGTAATGTATATTCCAGGTAGAATTCCAATAACCATGAAGAAAGTATCTTTTTTTTTTAACATCAATTTGTTTTATATTTTCCTTAAGCCAAACTTCTAGACTTAACCTGCAGATTTTTAAAAGAGTTTATAAAATTTTGTTTTATTTTCAACACGTGAAACTTTGCGATTTCCTAGGGGACTGTGGGCCATCTTTCTGTTTTCTGTCTCCATGGCCAGTATTATTCTGAATCAGTCAGTCACTGTGTTTGAAGTGCCACCTGCCAAGGAGCAAACAGGAGGGCTGCATCTAGTTTGTTTCATTAGACTAAACATAATCTTGTGGGGGGAAGAAGTAAAAATAACAGATGGTCCCCCAGGGCCTGCATCGCTGCAGGTGTTTAAGGAATGACTGACAGCGCATGAACACGCATGGCCAAGTGAGGCTGATGCAGGGGAGGTGCTGCAGAGGTTGGGGGTGAGAGGGACATGACCCTCACTTCCTCCTGCCCTTTCTCTCCTCTCTAGTCGAAGGATCTCACTTTCTGTATTCGCTCCCTGGGTGGGGAAGAAGATAATGCCTTATCTCAGCATTTCAAAATGGAAAAGCCACACTTGATCATTCTGAGAATTTTTCTTTAAATCAAATAAAAGTGGAAGTTTAAATCTGTTTCAGTCCGTTCACATTCCTGTTTCCTTGTCTTCACTGGCTTCCACTGTTGCCTTCATATTCTCACGCATGTCTCGCAAGATATCGATATATGAATTCTCTTGATTAAATAATAAAATTATCTGATGACATTAGCAAGCCAGTGAATTCTCTAGAAAGCTGATAAAATGGTTTCTATATAACATATGGAACTTAAATGCCTTTTCAGTGGAGAGTGAGCATTTCCTGGTTCCTAAAATAGGTGAGATTCCTAAATTTATACAGAGCTAGAAGAATCCATTAACCTCTCACTATGTGCAAAACAATTTTTTATTGAGATATCTCGACAAAACATTATATTAGTTTTAGACATACAACAATAATTTGATATCTGTGTATATTGCAAAATGATCACTGTACTATGTCAACTTAGTTACCATCTGTCACTGTGTATAGTTACAGTTTCTTTTCTTATGAGGAGAAAATTTAGGATTTACTCTCACAGCAGCTTTCAAATATGCAATACAGTGTTATTAACTGTTGTCACCATGTTATACATTACATTCCCAGGACTTATTTATTTTATAACTGAAAGTTTGTACCTTCTGACCCCTTCGCCCATTTCATGCCCCCCCCACCACCACCACCTCTGGCAACCGCCAGTCTATTCTGTGTGTTTATGAGCTTACTCATTTGTTTGTTTGTTTTTAGATTCTACATTTAAGTGAGATCATATAGTAATTGTCTGTCTCTGTCTGACTTATTTCACTTAGCATAATGCCCTCAAGGTCCATCCATGTTACAAGTGGCAAGTTTCTTTTTTATGGCTGAATAATACTCCATTGTGTGTGTGTGTGTGTGTGTGTGTGTGTGAGAGAGAGAGAGAGAGAGAGAGAGAGCGCGCGCACACATTTTCTTTATCCATTCATCTATCAATAGACACTTAGGTTATTACCGTATCTTAGCTATTATAGGTAATGCCGCAATGAACATAGGATTGCATAGATCTTTTTGAGTTAGTGTTTTCATTTTCTTCAGGTAAATACCCGTAAGTGGAATTGCCGGACTGTTTGGTAGTTCTATTTTAATTTTTTGAGGAAACTCCATACTGTTTTCTGCAGTGGCTGAACTAATTTACATTCCCACCAACAGTGCACAAGGGTTCTCTTTTCTCCACACCCTTGCCAGTGCTTGTTATTTCTTATATATATATATTTTTAAAATAGCCATCCTAAAATGTGAGATGATATCCATTATGATTTTGATTTGCATTTCCCTGATGATGAGTGACGTTGAACATCTTTTCATGTGTCTGTTGGCCATCTGTATGTCTTTTTTGAAAAATGTTTATTCAGGTCCTCTGCTCATTTGTAATCAGATTATTTTTTGGTGTTGAGTTGTGTGAGTTTTATATATTTTAGATATTAACCCCTTATCAGATATATGATTTACATGTATTTTGTCTCATTCAGTAGGTCGCCTTTTCATTTTGTTGATGGTTTCCTTTGCTGTGCAGAAGCCTTTTAGTTTGATATAGTACCACTTCTTTGTTTTTGCTTTTGTGGCCTTTATTTTTGGTGTCAAATCCAAAAAATTATTGCCAAGACTTATATCAAGGATCTTACCACTGTTTTTTCTCTAAAGAGCTTCTGGTTTTCAGATCTTACATTCAAGTCTTTAATACATGTTGAGTTAATTTTTGTGTATAGTGTAAGGGAGGGGTCCAGTTTCATTCTTGTGTATGTGGTATATGTTGTTTTCCCAACACAATTTATGGAAGAGACTGTCCTTTCCGCTTGTATATTCTTGGTTTCTTGTGATCAGTTAATTGACTACATATGTGTGGGTTTATTTCCTGACTCTCTTCTGTTCTGTTGATCTGCGGGTCTGTTTTTATGCCAGTACAATCCTGCTTTCAATACTATAGCTTCGTAGTATAGTTTGAAATCAGGAAACATGATACCTCCTGATTTCACAAGATTGCTTTGGCTACTCAGGGTCTTTTGTGGTTCCTTGCAAAATTTAGCATTCTTTGTTCTATTTCATGAAAAATGCCACTGGAATTTTGAGAGGCATTGCATTGAATCACTTTGGATAGTATGGACATTTTAACAATATATAGTCTTTCAATCAATGAGCACGGGATATCTTTGCATTTGTTTGTATCTTCTTCAGATTCTTTCATCAGTGCCTTATAGTTATCACTGTACAAGACTTTTACCTCCTCGGTTAAATTTGTTCCTAGGTATTTTAATCTTTTGATGCAATTGTATGTGGAATTGCTGCCCTGATTTCTCTTTCTGATAGTTTATTATTAGTTTATAGGAATACAACAGATTTCTGTATGTTAATTTTGTATCCTTCAGCTTTACTGAATTGACTTACTAGTTCTCACCATTTTTTGGTGGAGTGTATTTTAAGGTTTTCTATATACAGTATCCTGTCCTCATGCAAATAGTAATAGTTTTCCTTCTTTCTTCCCAATTTGGATATCTTTTATTTCTCTTGCCTAATAGCTCTGGCTAAGACTTCCAGTACTACATTGAATAAAAATGGAGTCCCACTTGTTTGTTTTTGCCTTTGCAAAATTCACTTTTGCAAGGAGTCGGCATCCTTGACTTATCCCTGATTTTAGAGGAAAAGTTTCTGCTGAAAAAATTTGCCTACAGTTTTATGGGCGTTTCCCTTTGATATAACAAGTTGTTTTTCTCTTGCTACTTTTAAGAGTCTCTCCTTGTCTTTAACTTTTGATATTTTAATTATAATGTGCCTTGGTCTCTTTTGGTGCTTCTTACTTGGTTACTTTCCCCAGGCTAAGGAAGTTTTCAGCCATTATCTCTTCAAATAAGTTTTCTCTTCCTTTCTCTTCTCCTGATGGGACCCCTCTGATGTGAATGTTAGTTGGCTTGATATTATCCCATAAGTCCCTTAAGCTATCTTCACTTTTTTTCATTCTTTTTCATTTTTGCTGCTCTGACTGGGTGAGTTCCACTGCCCTGTCTTTCTTTTTTTTTAAATCAGTGTTTTGTATTTATTATTTTTTTAAAGTTTTTTATTTATTTATTTGACAGAGACACAGCGAGAGAGGGAACACAAGCAGGGGGAGTGGGAGAGGGAGAAGCAGGCTTCCCGCGGAGCAGGGAGCCCGATGTGGGGCTCGATCCCAGGACTCTGGGATCATGACCTGAGCCGAAGGCAGACACTTAACTGACTGAGCCACCCAGGCGCCCCTGCCCTTTTAGTTCACTGATGCTCTCCTCGGCTCCATCTTGTTTGCTGCTGAACCCCTCTTGTGTATTTTTCAGTTCAGTTATTGTATTCTTCTGCTCTGTGACTTCTGTTTGGAATTTTCTTATATTTTCTTTCTTTGTTGAATTTCTCATTTACCCATCTTTTCCCCTGAGTTTGGGCGGCATCCTTATGACCATTCCTTTGAACTCCATATTGTTTTGTTAATATTTTTTTTTCTGAGGTTTTATCTTGTTCTTTCATTTGTAACATATTTCTTCTTCTTCTTCTTCTTCTTCTTCTTTTTTGACTCTGTTAGTTTCTGTGCATTAGATGAAACAGCCACCCTCCTAGTCTTGAAGGAGTGGCCTCCTGTAGGAGATGAACTTTACTGTTCAGCCCTGCCCTAGCTCTTGGTTGTGCCTCAAACCGTCATGATTGCCCAAGCAGTGTATTTTATTTTTAATAACTGACAGTAGTTGAAGGTGTGCCGGGCCAGTCAGCGTCCCAAAGGGGAAGAGCTTAGCACCTAGATTCGGGCTGATCGGAAACTAGATCCTCAGGCAGCAGCTTTTTTTTTTTTTTAATGCAAATGTGTACAGTCCTGTGGGATGGCAAGCATAAACCCTGCTGGCCCTAGAGCAAGACAATCTGGAGGTGTCCCCTGGGCAGCAGTTGTAAAAATCAGGGCTCCAGATGAGTGTGCATGCTCCTTTCTGAGAACTACCAGTGAACTGTAGTAAGGCAGGGGCTGGAGGGCACAATGGAGGCATCCCTTGGCCTGTGTTCCCTGAGACCAGCTTCTTGGCTCCTAGATGTGTGCCAAACCTGAGGACTGCCCCCAAGGCAAAAGCCCCAGGACTAGCAAGGTGTCCTCTTTCATGGAAAGGGGAGGGATGTGTTTCTCTCTGCTCCCTGTGCAGTGCCCTGGGGGTGGTAGTCTGCCAAGAGCTCTTTCTCTGCTCCTTACAGTCCAGTGCGACCCAGAAACCCAAGCCACCCTGCTCCCCAAAGCCAAGTGATCCAGGGGTATCCCCTGGCAGCATTCACATAAACCGGGGTACCTGACATAGAAATGAGGCACACAGAAGATCTCCCCTCAGAGAGATGCTGGCGCTCTGGAATGTGGCAGAAGGAGAGTGTGAAGAAAATGCATGCTCTCCGGGCGCCTGGGTGGCTCAGTTGGTTAAGCGACTGCCTTCGGCTCAGGTCATGATCCTGGAGTCCCGGGATCGAGTCCCACATCGGGCTTCCTGCTCAGCGGGGGTCTGCTTCTCCCTCTGACCCTCTTCCCTCTCATGCTCTCTATCTCTCATTCTCTCTTTCTCAAGTAAATAAATAAAATCTTTAAAAAAAAAAAAAAAAAAGAAAAGAAAATGCATGCCCTCCAAGGTCTCAGGAAGGATTTACAGTCAGCCTTTAGTTTATTAAGGAAAAGGCCGCCCCTGGGGCTACAGCTCTGTTGATAAGCTAATAGACCCCTTTCACAGAAAGATTGAACTCCTGGGTCTATTGCAGCTTTGCTGTGCCCTGGGGGTGGTAGCTTTTAAGAACTGTTACCTCATTGGTTATAATCTGGTGGGCCTCTGAGTTTAAGCCTCCCTGGCCACCAGAGCCAGGCAACGTAGAGGTTCCCTGTCAGCCACAAAAATCAGGGCACCAGAGAAGAATATAAGCCCCTTTCTGTAAGATACCAATTTGCTGGAGCAAGGGAGGAGGAGAGCACAAAGATTGTGTTCACCAGCCTTCCTTCCCTGAGCACGGCTGCATAGGCCTCTGTAAGTGTATCACCCCACACGCCTGCCCCCCGGCCGAAGCACTTACACACATAGACCTCTTCTCAGAAACACTGGGATGTGTTTCTCGCGGCTCTCTGTGCAGTGCCCTGGGAGGGGTGCTCCGTCAGGAACTCCTCTATGGTTGTTAGAGGCTCATGGGACCCAGGATCGCAAGTCCACCAGATGTGTGTAGAAGCTCCCCTGTGGAGATACTGGCGCTCCCACGCACAGCAGAGGGAGAGCACAAAGATAGCACTTAGTGGCTGGAGTGATGCAGAGGGGGAGTGTAAACATGGTACACACCAGAAAAATTAAAAAAAGAAGAAGAAGAAGAAAAATTTGAAAGATGGCGCCCACCAGCTTTAGTCAAGCCCTGGGAGAGCACAGATGAGAGAAGCCCACAAACTGGAGAATAGAGATGATGCCAGCTAGTGTTAGTGAGGCAGAGGAGAAATGGGAAGACGGCAGCCTCCCTCCCTGGGGGGATCCCAGCGGGCCCTTGCCCCTCAGACCCATGCTTCGGAATTAGGAAATGAGTCTCTTTCACATGAAATGTGGGTACTTTACAAGGGGCTCCTTCTGCGCTGGGCCCTGGGGTGGGTGAGTCTACACTCAAGGGCACTTTATGAGAGTTTCTTTCCTTAGTTTCACCACAGCCCCGTGGGTCTTGTGGGCGGGAGCCCCATTGGTCTTAGAAGCCAAATGTTTGGAGGGCTTATTTCTCAGGTACTGGTATTAATAGTTGGGGTGCCCAATGTAGGGTACAAATCCCTTTGCTTCTCACGGAGAAACTCTGGGTTTTGAGTTTTCTTCCAGTTGTGGGGTTATCATACCTCAAGTGGGGTTTATGGTGAGACTGCTCAGCCTTTCCTGCCTGCTACCATGTGCTTTCTGTCTCATTTGCTGACAAGTAGGGGTCGGCCCGCCAATTTTTAGGTTTTTTTCAAAGGAAATTGTTCCAAACATAGCTATAGATATGGTGTATCCATGGGGGGAGGTGAGTTTAGGATCCTCCTATGTCACCATCTTGAACTGGAACCCCAAACTTTATTCTCACATGTTTGTGTAACAGAACATTCTATATGAGAATTCAAGGGATAAAGTAGCTTGGCTTATTATGGCTTGTTCATTTTTTTTGAAGATATTTAAAAATCTATTTATTTGAGATAGCAGGAGCAGGGAGGGAGAAGCAGACCCCCCTATTGAGCAGGGAGCCCGATGCGGGACTCAATCCCAGAACCCTGGGATCATGACCTGAGCTAAAAGGCAGACACTCAACTGACTGAGCCACCCAGGTGCCCCATGGCTTGTTCATTTTTTAATTCCTTGTTACTCCTAGTTTATATGGCATCTTTATATAAATTAATCATTTCTGAAATGTATATGTTGATAAAAATTTTGTTATAATTTTAGATATACAGAAAAGTTGAAAAGAAAAAGTAGAGAAAGTCTCCATGTAAGATTCACCCGGCCAGCTCTCCCTAACATTGACATTTTATGTAACTATGACACATTTATCAAAAGCAAGAAATAGAATCTTCTAATCTAAATTACAGACTTTATACTGACTTTACCAGTTTTTCCACGAATGTCCTTTTTCTTTTCCGGGAACCAGTCTAAGCCACCACATTGAATTTAATGAAATATATTTTGAGGAAGCTTGTGTTAGCGTTATATTTACTGACTGTTATTAACACTGTGAATAAAAGCTCATCATTAGCCTTCATGCTTATTTTGTCCCAGGAAGCATCCCACTCAGTCATAGTGCAGTGGAACACTTAGCTCTTTCTTATCTGTAATCTCCCCTTGCCCTTGGGCTAGAAATGCCTCTCCTGTGAGGGTGGAGGGCCAGGCCTATGATCTGCGCTTCTCTTCTGTCTCCCCATAGGATTCTTTTCTTCCTCCTCCTTGCCCTCCTTCCCCTCAGCCTCTGGGGTCCTCAGGGTTGGATTGGACCTGTGCTGAGAGGAAGAAGCATGGGCGAGGGGTTAGTGATGGTGGAGAAGGTCTGTCTTCCTTCCTCCAGGCCACGTGTAATTCCGGACTGCACAGCAGAGCTGGGTCTGGTGGCCTATTGTATTCTTTATCTGATGAGTGGACTTGGCCCACCAACTGCTTTCAGTGCCCGAACATGCCTCTTTTCCCACCCAGACACTGTGCATCCGTGACCTCTGTCCATTCGCCATGGAATCACCACCTTTTCAGACAGTGTTGTTGGGCAAGATTCCATAGTCTTCTAGGAGCCCGTATGAGAAACACATCTCTCTTTTTTGTCACTCTGCGCCTTTCACACTTTCTAATACCCAGCTTCAGGAGACAGGTGCCAAGCACTCCGGATGGCTCTCTCGAAGGCTCCTTGCTCGCTTGGTGTAAAGGATGCAGTGTCTCTCCTTTTCCATCACAACAGAGGTGGAAGGTGGAGATGCCCAGCACATGGGGAGCTCTCCAAAGTCTCTCAGTGTTCACTTTCATCCCCTTTATATCCTTAGGGTGGAAAGATCTATTGAGTCTCCCCCTTTGCACGCACTTAGTCTAGCACCTTGCTTTTGAAACACGGAGGTACCTGGCACTTACTGTCTTTTACCATCAGCTTTAGGAGAAGAGAGAAGCCGAGAACAGGACAAAGTTCCAATTCAACATCTTGTCAGTATCTGCAATGTGGGCATCTTCCGGTCACTTGTTCCTAGAGTAAACGTGTTTTAACGTTCTCTCAAATTTATACTCATTGCGAGTCATTTGTTGAAAGGAATGAATGAATGGGAAGTTAAGAACTGTGTTGTATATATATTTTTTCTTTTTTAATAGAATCTGTCATTTATTTCCCTGGTCGATGTAGGCGTGTTTGCAAAACTTAGTGATTATAGAATTTTTCCTTGGAAAATAAAAATAGAAACTGCCTCCATTCAAGCGTTCTGCCTTCTCTGGTATCACATAAAGATCACTTCTGAAGTGTGAGCTAAGAGAGCAAAGTTAGGTTCCAATTGCCCTGGATTCTGGGTTCGTGAAGTTAATGACCAGGGAATCATCTTTTTAAAATCTCAATGGTTGTAAAGAGATAAAAAATCTCTTATGGTTGTAAAGGTGGTAAAACAGCTGTACACTTAAGAAATCGCTAAAGAGGACTTTTTCCTTGATATGAATGCTTTGTCCAGGTTACTATTTAGCAATAAGAAGTAATTGCCTCTTATCTTAAGCTTAATTTCAGATCCTACACCAGAGAGTAAGGACTGATTGATTTGACTTAACCAAAACAACTGGCTCCTACCCTCTTCCTCTAAATAAAAGAAACTAAAAACCAGACAAACATGAAGTAATTCACCATTCTTTTTTTGTCAGTGTTTTATTAAGCATACAGAAAGAGAACATGAAAATCCTTGAGAAACTGTTTTTAGAATTTGTTATATGTAAACACTAAGTTAATTTTGTCCCTGCCTATTAGTGGAAAGTTTATTTTGGCCATTAAGTTCTCGAGAATGATTGCTGTCTCTCTGTTTCTGCTCCAGGGTCCTTGTACTGGGAATCAGCAGAGCTTGGCCCACAGCAGGCTGTGGGATGCAGTTGTGGGCTTTCTTCATGTATTTGCCCACATGCAGATGAAGCTGTCTCAGGTAAATCCTCCATCCTGAATGACAAATACTATAATCATTGGCAAATTCAACATGCTTACCTTTGTTTGAATATGATCTTTCTTAGATCACTTCTTTATACATCTTTTACTCTCTACATATTTCTTAAAGATTTTATTTATTTATTTGAGAGAGAGAGCGAGCTGGGCGGGGGAGGAGCAGAGGGAGAAGGAGAGAGAGAGATTCGCAAGCAGACTCTGTGCTGAGCACGGAGCCCGACGTGGGGCTTGATCTCATGACCGTGAGATCACGACCTCAGCCGAAATCAAGAGTCACATGCTTAACCAACTGAGTCACCCAGGCACCCTTTTTACTCTATTAAAAAAACAAAAAAACAACAAAAAAACAACAAAAAAACAAAAAAAACCCTTTTAATAAAAGAATTTTATGCAAGCTAAGAATAGGTGGGAGCCATTATTCAAATTTGAGAACAAAAGGTATTAAGGAATTGAATATAATGGAGAAATAACACAGTGTAGTCCTCAAACATTGTACATTTTACCATCCTTCATAGACCCACTTCTTGGTGATTATTCACTGGAATTTTCCTCCTCCCGCCAGGTAACTGAAAAACGATTTGTAATCTGCAAATCCCTTGCTAAAGAGCGACAGTTTTCTTACTGAGTCATAAATGAGCTGCTGTTCTCAATAGATGACATTCACTCATCAACAGGACATTTAACTTTGCGAAAGTCAAAGAGAAAAAATATGTAAGGATAAGCACGTAAAGAACAGATTTGCAGAAAAGAGTAAATAAGTCTCTTTGATGCGGTGAACTTTGATGATGGGTCCTGAGATCTGACATAACTGTCAGGGCATGGGTGTTTGCCAGGTGTCAGGGAGAGGAAAGACTGCTGGATTTAAGGCCAACCATTGCCCGTCCTGCCCCGTGTTTTCATTCACGTGTCCCAACAGTATGCGTGCACCAGCTTCCTTTCCTCCAGTGAAGTGAGGACACTTGCACCTGTCCCCCCAATATGCAGGAGCATGTTGTCAGAGATAAACAAAGCCAGGCATTGGTTAAAGTGGTGAGGACAGGTTTTCATCAGTAATTAACTATCATAGTAGGGCAAAGAGTCCAGCATGAACGGAGCTCCACTTTGATTTGTACAGAGGTGAGTGGGTGTTTTAAAGGGAGAACGAGGAACCAGGCAGGAGAGGGCAGGAAAGGCAGGAAGGGAGAGATATGATTATACCAGCTGTGCCCACAGGCTGACAGTTATTGAAGTTCAGCTCCTACCCTCACAAAGAGACTGGGAGAGGACACTGGTCCCCAGGTGTCAGCAGGCACAAATGGGACAATTTTTTTTTTTTTTTTTTTTAGCAGCCTTGAGTTTTCCCAGGCAGTCCCTCTAAGGTGGGCTAGGGTCATCCTAGGGATGCAACCTTAAGCTGGTAGAAACTATATTAGTATTTTGTTCAAGTCTTTATAGCCCAAGATTGAACCCTAGTTGAAAAGAGGACTCAGAAGAGCCTGGCTTGAGTTTTGTCAACATCTAGTTATTGGTGCCTTCCACCAAATAAGGAAATAACATGATTCTTTCATCTAATCACTAGTGACATTTTAGTAAGTAAAGAAACCAACATGAACCAAATTGATACACTTACAAGAGAGTTCTCATTCTGGTGTAGTTCCATTGTTTTATTAACATCTGGTGCTACCTAGCAGTTGTTCAGTTTGTAGACCTAGCCAAGGGAACATTATTTAGAAAGAAAGTCTCATTTTTCCAGCCATAGAGAAATTTAGCCTTATATGTAGCCAAATCTAAATGAATACAATGATACCTTGTGTAATTTTTTAAAAAGAAACAAAGCATAGTTTCAAATGAAAAGAAAATTTGGTGATTCATAATGTCATAATGTGGATGTAAGTACATTCTGTGTTTCTAGACGCTGAATCTAAGCAGTGATGTTTGGACACAACGTATCTCTGTAAAAGAATTTTTTTCATGATGAAAATTCAAAAGCAAACACAAACAAAAAAAAAACCTAGAAAATGTTAACCAGAGAACTATCAGGGAGTTTAATAAAACTGGTAAATAACATATATTATACATTGTTCATATAGGTGGTACTTGGGTACATTTTTGTTAGATTTATATAAAATAAATTTGTCATATCACTGTTATGCCTATTTTTCCTGAATAAGTTAATTTTTACAAAACGTATAACATTTTTGTATAATAAGTTAGGAAGAAGGAAAAACAAGTTCAGTCTTCAAGAAAAAGAAAGATGTCAGGAACTATGAGGGACTCAGGACTCTGAGAAACAAACTGAGGGTTCTAGAGGGGAGGGGGGTGGGGGGCTGGGTTAGCCTGGTGATGGGTATTAAAGAGGGCACGGTCTGCTTGGAGCACTGGGTGTTATACGCAAGCAATGAATCATGGAACACTACATCAAAAACTAATGATGTAATGTATGGTGATTAACATAACAATAAAATAAAATAAAAAAGAAGTCAGATGTGTAGAGGCACATGAGTCTTGTGTGGTGCTGGAGAATCTGAGGCTGCTTTCATCCTTCTGTTAGACTTGTTCATTGTCCTCACACATACTTTAATAAAATGAGATAGAATCAGTAGTAAATACTAACTCTGAAGTATATCTCTTTGCAGTAGGCTACATACTTAACTTGGCCTTTCTTTTATTCTGTAATCCTAGAAAGTATTTACGATTGGTAAAGCACTACTCTTTGTGAGAATAAGTGTGCTGTCCCTGCTACATAATCATCTCATATTCTCTCAAATGCAGTATGTATGCTATATATTATATATATTATGTATTATGTGTTGTATGTTAATATTTTCAGGATTCCAGTCAAATTGAGCTATTAAAAGAATTAATGGATCTTCAGAAGGACATGGTGGTCATGTTGCTGTCCATGTTAGAAGGTAGTTTTGATTTATATTTTCAAGTTCCCGTTATTCTCTTATTTCAAGGATCAGTATGTGCTTACTTATGAAATCAGCATGCCACAAAGAATAAAATATCAACACTGAGATGCGGCAGATACCTTGGATTTATCGCTGGCTTTATTACTGTTTTCTCAAAGTTATCTTTTTTAAAAAGAGGTGCCTTGCCTACCTCAGTTTACATAGCGGTGGGATGAAACCAGTCTTAATGTATAGCGACACTTTTCATCTCACAGCGATAGCCTAAAGAATACGCTCTCCAGACACATAGTATATAAAGATTCTATTTGCTTGTTAGTCTGTTTGTGATCAGTGGGGATGACGGGCATTTGGATAAACTCCAACTCCGTAAACCGCGGCCTTGAGCTGGCTGCACTGTGACTCCCAAGGGTTATTCACATCCTTCAGGAGAAGGAGAACAGGGGGCACTACCCCCCAGAACAGCTGCTGGTGGCAATCTCGTGCATGCTCCCGCCACGGGCCTCCCTCCGCTCTCATTCTCTCTCTGTTCTCTTTCCAACTGGCCTTTCTCTGCTACTGCATTTCTCTTCTGTGTCAGGCAGTAATAAGCGTGATGGTCAAGAGCTTGGGTTCGAATCCCCGCTTTCCCACTTCCTAGCAGTGCGACTCTTGCCCTAGTTCCTTCTCCATTTCCTCCTCTGTAAAATGGAGGTAATGACAGAGGGAATGTGAGAAGTCAGTGAAATCATGTGAATATGACCAAAGCTACTAAAAAATGTTCGCTATTGTTACCTATCCTTTTTTCTTGATTTCCTCCTAATTCTTCTCTGGTTCTCAGTTGGCCGTGCTTTGCGTAACCGCACTTCGATTAACGAAGGCAAGAGGCGTGCCTTGTGGTAGGACTTCAAAGATGCCACGTTGGCAGAAACCCTTAGGTGGCAGCCACTGGAGCGCAGGACCCTTTACCATGACGTCAAATCAAATTTTCGTCTAGTTAATAGTAACAAGCAGAATAAAAGCAGGAGAAGCAGTGACTGCACCCGTGACAGTGTAAATTCACCTGCTATCATGTATCAGCTCCTCATTTAATCCTCACGCCAGGGTTATGAGTTTGGTAGTATCATTACTGCTGTTTTGCAAATGAGGAGACTGAGGCACCGAAAGCTGAGGTTGCTCAGCTAGTAGATGGTGGAACCTGGATTCAAACCCAACAGTGTGGCTCCTGAGCCCGCGCTCATAACCACGGTGTTTACTGCGGCACAAGTGGACTCCAGCAGGCCTCACCACGTGTCTTTGTTCTGTTTCTGTCTTTATGTTACACTGCACATTCTCTTCAAGGAATAAAAGCGTTCTATGACTCTATAATTTAGGGTACTATCTAATTTTCTCAAGCTTATCAGTGATCTTCCATTTTCTGACAATAAATATTCTGGACCATGAAGAAATGTAGGGAGAGGGCTTTACATTGTAAACCAGAAAGAGCGTATAATTTGCTTTCAGAGGATCTGTTTAAAGTCCTGGCACTCATCCTCACTAATCCTGTCACAACGGGCACATTGATTTAGCCCACTGATTTGCTAAACTTCACTTTCCTCAATAGTAAAATCAGAATTAATAAAAAGTACCTGCCTTACAGAGCTATGAGCATTAAATCAGGCATTGTCTACGAGTAATGATTTTTCAACCCTAAAAAGCTATCCAAATGCTCATTTTTATTATTAATATGAAACTGGACTTAAGTTTCTGGCTTTAGGATATAAATATTTCCCCCATTTTCTCTATCTGAGAATATGTTGCTTCCTTGATCAATTTGAGGAAAAAACAACAGCTTTTGTTCAACTACTGTTGTACCCTTGTTAGTCTAACCACTTTGCAAAATATCGTTTTGCATGTGTTTATGTAATCACTCCTTTAAGCTAGAGTTTACAAATCACTCTCCATCTTTTCCTGAGACTTCGTGCAGTGGAAGATAAACAAGGAGGTATCCTTGATTCAGATGTCATGTAAGAGTTATATTGTGATTTTTTTTCTGTAGGCACTGGTTTTATCAAAAATGTTTCCTTTGAACTCATGCAATTCTTTACCACCAGGTAATGTTGTTAATGGAACCATTGGCAAACAGATGGTCGATATGCTCGTGGAATCTTCCAACAACGTGGAGATGATTCTCAAGTTTTTTGACATGTTCTTAAAACTAAAGGATTTGACTTCTTCTGACACATTTAAGGAATATGATCCTGACGGCAAGGGAGTCATTTCCAAGAGGGACTTCCATAAAGCGATGGAGAGCCATAAGCACTACACGCAGTCAGAAACCGAGTTTCTTCTGTCCTGTGCAGAGACCGATGAAAACGAGACCCTCGACTATGAAGAGTTTGTCAAACGGTTCCACGAGCCCGCGAAGGACATCGGCTTCAACGTTGCCGTTCTCCTGACCAACCTGTCCGAACACATGCCCAACGACACTCGACTGCAGACATTCCTGGAGTTGGCAGAGAGCGTCCTGAATTACTTCCAGCCCTTTCTGGGCCGCATTGAGATCATGGGAAGTGCCAAACGCATCGAGCGGGTTTATTTCGAAATCAGTGAGTCCAGCCGCACCCAGTGGGAGAAGCCCCAGGTCAAGGAGTCCAAACGGCAGTTCATCTTTGACGTGGTCAACGAAGGGGGAGAAAAGGAGAAGATGGAGCTTTTTGTCAACTTCTGCGAGGACACCATATTTGAAATGCAACTGGCAGCGCAGATCTCCGAGTCGGATCTGAACGAGAGGTCGGCAAATAAGGACGAAAGTGAGAAAGAGAAGCCCGAAGAGCAGGGGCCCAGAATGGGTTTCTTTTCCATTCTGACGGTCAAGTCGGCACTGTTGGCTCTCAGGTACAATATCTTGACCCTCATGCGAATGCTCAGCCTGAAGAGCCTGAAGAAACAGATGAAGAAGGTGAAGAAGATGACCGTGAAGGATATGGTCACAGCCGCCTTTTCATCCTATTGGAGTATGTTCGCGAGCCTCCTGCACTTCGTGGCCAGTGTTTCCAGAGGCTTTTTCCGCATCATTTGCAGCCTGCTGCTGGGGGGCAGCCTGGTAGAAGGAGCGAAGAAGATCAGAGTGGCAGAGCTCTTAGCCAACATGCCGGACCCCACTCAGGATGAGGTGAGGGGGGACGGCGAGGAGGGGGACAGGAAACCCATGGAAGCCGCCCTGCCCTCAGAAGATCTGACAGACCTGAAGGAGCTGACAGAGGAAAGCGATCTTCTTTCAGACATATTTGGCTTGGATCTGAAGAGAGAAGGAGGACAGTACAAACTCATTCCCCATAATCCAAATGCTGGCCTCAGTGACCTCATGAGCAACCCGGTCCCCATCCCCGATGTGCAAGAAAAATTCCAGGTAATGGACTCTAAGTCACCGTAGCCCTCTGGACTTCAGGTGGGTGTGAACAATGAACTTCACCCCCGTTCTCGGGCTGGTGCCAGAGTGGTGTTAAATACGTGACTTGAGGGGCGCCTGGGTGGCTCAGTCGTTAAGCATCTGCCTTCGGCTCAGGTCATGATCCCAGGGTCCTGGGATCGAGCCCCACATCGGGCTCCCTGATCAGCAGGAAGCCTGCTTCTCCCTCTCCCACTCCCCCTGCTTGTGTTCCCTGTCTCGCTGTGTCTCTCTCTGTCAAATAAGTAAAATCTTTAAAAAAAAAAAAAAAATACGTGACTTGAGTTTCCAAAGGGAAATGGTAGGCAACGCTGGCCTTGTTAAGATTCTTTACAAATTACTGAAGTATCTTAAACCGTTAAGGTATAAGCTCAAGTCCCCACCCTAACGACAACAGTCAGCTGAGCAGTCATCCCGGCCGCACACATTTTATGAGTCTTTACCATGTGCCTAACGCCACTGGGTATCATAGCGCATTCAGGGAAACAGAAGATGTGACCACTGCTTTCAAATTGCCTTTTATTTTTTTAAAGATTTTATTTATTCATTTGACAGAGACACAGCGAGAGAGGGAACACAAGCAGGGGGAGTGGGAGAGGGAGGAGCAGGCTTCCCGCGGAGCAGGGAGCCCGATGCGGGGCTTGATGACCTGGGACCATGACCTGAGCCGAAGGCAGACGCTTAATGACTGAGCCACCCAGGCGCCCCTTAAAGAGTTTGTTAGAAAGATCTAACTAACACTCACAAAAAAACTGGGAAATTAGTAAGTGCTCAGTAAATATAGACACTAGACAGTAGAGGTCACAAACATTGAGAGAGCAGAGACGTCACTACGGTTTGGAGTACTTCGGTGAAACCTAAAGGGTGAGTAACGAGGAGGTGGATGAGAGCAAGAAGGTCCTTCTGAAGTACGCAAAGAAAGTGAGAAGGAGCCCAGCAGGTCTGTGCTTCCTGCTGGCGTGGGAGGGACGAGCGGAGGGAAGCGCCAGTGTGGCAGGAGGGTATCATCTGCAGGTTATGGTTTGCCCCATGGTCACAGGGTTCCCTCAACTCACTCAAAGGTGACGTGTAATCCCTGCTTTTCTTTCTTCTCCCCCTTGGCTCATTCAAGGAACAGAAGGTGAAAGAGGAAGAAAAGGAGGAAAAAGAAGAAAACAAATCTGAACCCGAAAAGGCGGAGTATGTGTTGTTTCTGTATACCTCCCTTTGTTTCACTAAGTCTCCGTTACTTGCTCTCCCTCCCTCCTGAGCACATGACGGACAGTCTGGTGCTACAGGACGAAATCCGCCATCCCAGAGGAGAGGCTCTGGCAAGCCCTCGGGCTGCCAGGCCATCCCTTCTTCTTTGTTCCATGAGGATTCTGTTTGTGGGCGATTCCCGTGATTCCGTGTCATGCTGTCCGCAAGGGCACTGACTGCTTCAATTCCGGGCCTAAAACCATGCAGACACCTCCTGTCCTCGTCAGCCAGAGAGGAGACAAACGTTCTGAACGCCATTGTGTAGAATTCTTGCACTGACGTCCCATGCATAAAAATGGCCTCGCGAATTTGTTAAAAACAAAGATCCATCCCCGGGCCCCACCGCAGAGATTCCTGATTCAGCAGATCTGGTGCGGGACCCAGAAATCTTCAGTTTCCCCCCACATTCGCAGTACTACAGAGCAATAAGAAATAAAGAGCTGAATGTGAAACAATAAAAATGGATCACTTCCTCATAACACTGGCTTTCTGTCAATCACTGAAACCTACATCTTTCCCCCAGTTTAGACAGCTTCATGTACACACTTTTAAAAAATCAATGAAGTCAAATCTGAAGTACCTGTAAGAGCCACTGTGCTCCCTAAGCACTTACATTTTTCTCTTCATTGCTATTTTCTTTGGCTATTCTTTACAGTTGGCACTATTTATAGATCCTTCTTGGTTGTAAAAATGGCCACATTAATGACTGTTTTAGTGAAATGAAACAGCATGACAGCCATTTCAGGGACAGTTCTTTCATGTTAAAAAAATGTTAGAGCTCATACAGGTTAAGTATGGGTTGTGTATATGTGACATAAATAGGCTTTCATGAAAGATTTTGGTATTTTATAACCAGAAGGGTTGTAGGTGTCAAATATCAGTGCTTCTGATTCCATAATTGTCTGCAAAATGAATATCTTGACATGCTTTATCCATGTGAACAACCAAATGCATACGCCTCTGATTTTAAGTCCTAATGGCTGATCAGTGTGAAAACTGAACCTTAAAATCATAATTTAAAAATAAGGTTGTTTGGAAAGTCACAGCAAAAAAAAAAAAGTGTCTTCTTTGATATCCTCTTTTTACTTAAGTGTTTTTATTGCACAACTGGAAGGGAATGTGCTACATATAGCTCTAAAAACACTTCAAGCCTGTAAAATGTCCTTTAGATTTGATTAGGATTGTCCATCTATGGGAGGCAGTGAGAGGCAGGAGATCTTAGCCCTCGTTCTAAAAATCTGAATATGATAATGGACTGAAAGCGGAACTAGTTTTCAACAAGGATGCTCTGATTTAAATATTTGTTCGTGTGTCTAATTTGGCACAAACCTGTTCACCTCTTTAGTTTCTGGATGGCTTATATTTCAATCATTTGTGTTTGCAGGGGAGAAGATGGGGAAAAAGAAGAAAAAGCCAAAGAAGATAAGGGTAAACAGAAGTTGAGACAGCTCCACACACACAGATACGGGGAGCCGGAAATTCCCGAGTCTGCGTTCTGGAAGAAAATCATAGCATATCAACAGAAACTTCTAGTAAGATGTTCTAGAGTGAATATTGTTATTGATATATTGTGAGACCATAGCAATTCAGGCCTAGTAAATACTCGTTGACCTTTTCTTGGGTGGCAATCAGGGGACCAAGTCAGTCCGACAAATATGTTTTATTTACTCACCTGAGTGTGTTCATATTTTATAATAAATGCCTTTGGTCCACTGCTCCCTGTCATCAAACCATAACCTCCACACACATCCACATTACCTGAAACCATCTGATACAGTGACTGCCAACACAGGGCAACCGGTGTGTTCCCACAAAGGCTTTAGGGCAGATTAATAAATATACTCTGTGGGACACACTGCGTGAGGGTCTGTGGTGAATGAAAGCAAAACACGACTTTGAGGGTACAAGTAATTCATATTGATGTTCCAGAACTGGGTTCATCAGTTTTTCTAGAACATCACCTTTTTATTAAAAGCCCAGTTACAAAAACATTAATGTAGTGAGCCGACTTCCTACTGATAATAAGGTCTATTCAAATTTATTCTTTAAACAGAAACAAGGAAAAGAAGGGAATGAAAAGAGAGAAGACAGTTCTTTATGTAGTGTCCTATATATTTTGCAGAAATGCTCTCCAAATTAATAAAATGCATATTCATATTTGAAAAACCAAGAAAGGTGTAGTTCTCTGTTCATATTCATACAAGATGGAATTCATAAAAATTTTGGTTGAAAGGCCTTTTATTATAATGTATACACTTTTTTAAAGCAGGAAAATGTTGGGAGATGAGTGTGCAGAGTAAACCTACAAGAGGTGCTAACCAATAATGTCCGACCTAGAAACCAAGACCAACATTCCTCATAATAAAGCCGTTTGAAAGACAAAATCATATTTAATGTTTTACAGCCTTTGCGAAATCAAAAATAGACAAGAAACTCAGTATACTATAGCCCTTCACCTAGAAGGGAAATGGAGTGTCCTCAGTAATTATATATTCTACCTGCTTATGTATAAACATTACACATTCTTATATAATTTATGCAAACATATTTTAGTTAATAGTTTCAATTATGTCTTCTTCAACTCCCTTTATTTTCCCCACATCGTTTAGTACCAAGTATCCCGAACGTAAACGTTCTGTAGATACCCCTAGATAATCACTGATATGCTGTGTTGTGATAGTTGCCATGGTGACAGGTGCAGCATAGATGGTAGGGCATGGGGTTGAATGGGCTCCCCGATAACCTGCCATAGCCCCAGTGGATTCCTGAAGACTGTGTTTAACTACAGTCGTGCAAAGCAAGTCAGTGAGGTCTGTCTTCCATTGTCTGCTTCAGGGTCATGTGTTCTCTGTTTTCCTGCTTCTCTTTCCAATATGACTTCCTCTTTCCACCATTTTGTCTACACAAGACTGATCATGGCCACATCAGGCCACCACAGGCCCCTTGTCCCTCAAGTCTTTGTGACCTGCCAGCTCAGATAACCAAGGTTACCAACTCAGCCTCCCATGACCCAGTTCCAGCCTTCCACAAGAAGAACCAATGTGACTGACCTGGTTTGGCTGTAGTAGGCTGCCTTAGTCCATAAGCCGTAGCAGTAAAGGCAGGGTCCTGTGTGGGAGATGACACAACCCGAATGGGGTGTGTACATGGAGACCGATAATGGGATACGTTGTCATCTTGATAGGACCTGTCATGCTAAAGCCCCTGGCATATCCTCTTGGATGCCCCATAGACCTCTCCCATTTCACAGTAAAACAAGTACTTGATATTTCCCATCGCCTTTTTCCTTCGACCTACTTCTCCTCTAGGTGTTTTTCCAGCCGATAAATGGCACCAACCATTTATTGAGTTGCTCTGACCCCAAATCCAGAAGTTACTATATCTGAGTCCTCTCTTTCTTTCCTCCCTCAAATCCAATCCAGTGGGAATTCTTCCCAGTTCTGTCTTCCAAATATAGCCAGAGTCTGCTCAGTTCTTCTGTCTCCACAGCACCTCCCAGGCCAGGCCACCGCCACCAGTATCACCCCTCCTGCTCTCCTGTGGTCGCTCTAATTAGTCCCTTCCTACCATGCTTGCCTCTTATCTGTCTCCCACAGGGAAGTTATAATTTCCAGTCATATCAAGCCCTCTTCAGATCCCCCAGTAGCTTGCCATCCCACCTGGAATACAGTAATAATTCCAGTGATAATAACAAGATTAATAACTAACTTTCCCTCCATGAACTTATCCTCAGAGCAAACCTCTGAGGAAGGTTCTGTTGTTATGCCCACTTTACAGATGATCAAAGTGATACTACAGGAGTGGTTAGGTGCTTGTCTGCATCTGCAGTGGGTGAGTGGTGAGGGTGGGCTCCACAGTCGGGCAGCGTGGCCCCAGAGGTCATAAACCAACCAACCCATCGCACTGGAAGGAACATTACAAACTTTTATCAGAAGCCTATAAGCCTATGTCCTCCTCACCTCTCTGACCTCATTCCCTCCCACTATTTCCTGTCCTCTCTCCCTGTCCCCAAGCACACCGTCACTCGGAACTCAGAACCTTGGTGCCCCATAACCCATGCTCGCTCACTCTCATACACTCTCCCCCCACATTGTTCACTTGCCTTGCTGTCCCATGGTATTCAGGCCTATGCTCAAATGTTATTACCTAAAATAAGCCTTCCCTGACCCACGTATCTAAAATAGCACCCCCATTCCCTAAGCCCTTAACCTGATGGCTTTTTCTTCATAGCATTTAGCATCCCTTGAGATTATGTTTTGTTTCGTCTTCTTTAATCTGCGGATGTGCTTCTTTATCCTTTGTGTCCTCCATGGTGGCTCAGATTTTCTTATTTGCTGTTATGTCTACAGCACCAAGAATGCTACTTGATACACAGTAGGCTCTCGAGAAATAGTTTTGGGTAAACGAAGGAATGCTTAATGTAAATTGTCTGCACATGTCAATCTCTTGATTCAGTGACCTTTTAATCATTTTTTTCACCTTCAGAACTATTTTGCTCGCAACTTTTACAACATGAGAATGTTAGCATTATTTGTCGCATTTGCAATCAATTTCATCTTGCTCTTTTATAAGGTACGTACATCTTCGTCTTTCAATAACCAGTATGAAACTACAGATGGACTGAATTGCATGTATAGATTTCACAGATCCACTGATGAGCACGTCTAAACCTATTCTAAAATATGTTTTGATGAAAGAGAAAACCTAGAGGTCAAGCACATCACTGAGGGTCTAGTAAGACAGGAGTAGATTTTTTCTTCCAAACTAAGTGGGAAATGTCTCAGCTGATGAGCATTTGATTCAGTGGAGGGCTTCCCCAGTGTCCCTAGCCTAATTTGGCTGAATATCTCACTTGTTACCATATCTGGGTGTGGCATACCTTTATTACGTTTAATTCTTTGGATAATTGGGAAGGCAGCTTAGCCATCTGTTCTCGCCACGCCCAACTCCCACCCCCGCATGCCTTAGAATCCTCATAACTCTTGTTGGATTAGAAGGAATTTTAAAGAGTATGCTCATTATTTGCCATTGGTTTTTGAAAAGCTATCTCTTTATTTTTAGCCTTTGCTTTTAGTCTTTTCATGGGACACGGGCTTCATCTTTGGCTCTTCGCTGATAAGGCTGGGTTTCCACTGGGTTTCCACTGGGTTTCTTGTTTGCACCGATATCTTAGAGGAAGCAACTGACTCTACTTTAAATGGTTTGAATCAGGTCTCCACTTCTTCTGTGGTTGAAGGAAAGGAGCTCCCCACTCGCAGTTCGAGTGAAAATGCCAAAGTTAGCAGCCTAGACGGCGGCTCGCCCAGAATCATCGCAGTTCACTACGTCCTGGAGGAGAGCAGCGGGTATATGGAGCCCACGCTGAGGATCTTAGCTATTCTCCACACGGTCATTTCTTTCTTCTGCATCATCGGATACTACTGCTTGAAAGTAAGATAGTAAGGCACCAAGGTACCCGTGTGTGTCCGTGTATGCATGTGTCTGTTTCAGGTTGGACTTCTGGGGAAGCAGACTCTGAGATGGGCAAATCACCTGCATGAGGATTATTAGGGAATGTTCAGTGAGTCAACACCTGTGGGGCAAGGGAAGGAAGCAGAGTGCAACAGAGGGAAAAGTGGTGCTACCTTTCAGACACAACAGGGCCCATGCACAGGCCTCAGGCCATGAGTTGGGATGTCCCTACAGGGTTGTCTTGGGCTAGGGCATTGGAGCCTGGTCTTCAGAGCTCCACGTTGGCTGCAGGCTGTCTCAGGAAGGGCAGATGGCTTTGGGCCATCTTGTTATAGCTTTGTCACATATTGGTAATTATTCACATAATGGCCAGTTTCACCAAAACTTGACTCCGCAGAAGTAACCCACCATGTGTCCTAGCAGTGCTCTGGTATATTAGAGTTACAGAATACATCATGTGGAACCTGAGTCGTTTTGATTGTCCTGTTATTAGGTACCTATCTAAAGCCATCACTGGCACAAATGCTTTATAGTTTGTCACATTTCACCCAGAAAATAATACAGCTCTATCCCTAGATCCCTACCAAGAGAATAATATAATTTGGTGAATAGAACTCAAGAGTCTCCGAGCGCTCAGGGCTGCCCATTACTTTTGCAAACCTCTTTATTTTTTCCTGGCAAGACACCTTTTCATGGTAACACTTTATTTCGCTGTCCCCTGCCTCTGATTGTGAAACTTCTAGAAGACTTTTGAAAAACCAGAGCCTAGAGTAAAAGACTAGAATGTAAAATTTTCTTTAGAAATTCCTCTCTCTCGTTTTCTTTCCTTTGTTTTGAGTTGGGGTAGGGGGAGGTATTCTTGAATACTTCCAAAACGTCTGCATCCTTCTATCTGCCTTGTGTAAAATCTGTCCAGATGAGAAGATGAGATGAATCAATATCTTCTGGAAACATTTTGGCAAACTGACAAAGATTTTTGCTGATGCTGAAATTAAAACTTATTTCAAAATGCATATGGACACTCTGAGCATGGAATCATTAAAGAGATTTCACAAATAAAACTGCACTTTTTAGAAGCATGCATTTGGGAACATTGGTAACATTGCTACATTTTATTGTAGCTATTTGTGTCTCATATATAAAGATACAATAAATATGTTGTAATAAAGGATATATTGAATCCTTTTCTCTTTAATATTTAAAAGTGATTTCTTTAGTGCAAATACCTATAAATATGTATGTGTTTAGAAACATAGGATTATATATGATATCTATTCCATTTGTTTTTCCTAAACCTCTAGATGTTCCTTTCTGCCTAAATATAACCAATTCATTTTCACCCAGTTTTACCTTCCTGGAAGTAACATGGGAAATATTTCTTTTTCCAAAAATCTGTTTTGTACAGATAGTGACCACAAGAGATACCAGTAAATCTAAACTAATTTTAATATGTTTATTTTTTCAAATGTAGGTCCCATTGGTTATTTTTAAGCGAGAAAAGGAAGTAGCTCGAAAATTGGAATTTGATGGGCTTTATATTACAGAACAGCCTTCAGAAGATGATATTAAAGGCCAGTGGGATAGACTTGTAATCAACACACAGTGAGTAAAGAATTATGTGAGACATTTCTATGCTCAAAAATTTCAAGACAAAAAAAAATACTTTGCTGGAGTTCTTGCAGATTTGTCAGAAGTTTAGCAGAGGTGAATAATAGTGATATTTTCAGCCAAGAATACCAAAAGACTAAACACTGTCAGCTTCTTAATGGATGCCATCAATTTTTTCCCATCTGTGTTCTGAATTCCTTAATCAAAAATGGCTTTGAGTCCATTTTCAAAGCACTGATGGAACGTGACACCCATTACTCAGTGTTCAGGGAAGAGTGTAGCTGGAGGTATGTAACCTACAGAGCAGGGTTCTCTCCTCCAAAAGCACAGAGGAGGCAAAAATTGGGGAAAGAGTTGTAGCATTAAAGGCAAAAATACTGCATTTCATACTTTTAATGTATCGAACTTGCTGTTGATATCATCAAGCAGCCGGGCATCAAACTAGTTAAGGAGTAGGACCTGTAAAACTTAAGGCAGAGAAACAAATACTTTTTCTATACACTAAATATTACACTTGTGAGATCAAGACCTAAACTACTAGCTGCTGTTCCAGGTATAAATCCATCCCAAAAGTGTAACTGTCCACCGCTAAAGGTATTAGTGATGCAGTAGCTTTTGAATGGTCTGTACTACTCAAGTGTGAAATATCTTTATTGTCATCAGTCTTGCTTATTCTTACGAAGTTAAAATTTCTAATAAGCTCCGAGTTTTCAAATAGGGATGGTTTCTTTGTGCATTATAAATATTTACTCTAAATGCTCAGTGTTTTATTTATCAACTCTAGCTGTTTATAAGAAGTCAAATTAAGTCTGTCCCTTTAAGTGAACTCGGTGTTAGTCAAGGTGCCAGTTTCCTGGAGGATTTGGTGTCTTGCTCAGTTTCCTTGAGGATAACTGGTGGGAATGACATTTTTTTACTTTGTAGGAGAAACAATGACAGATTTTTAGATACTTTAATTTTTTAACACAATTGACAAAAAAATGTATTTGACATGTTACAAATGACATATATTGACAAGTAAATAAATATAACAAGAACTGCTTATTAATAAATATGCTCATATTCTTCTCCATTAAAATAGTAGCCCATAGTCTTTTTGTGATTCTGCATGTATATATTGATAGCATAACCTTTAAATAATATTTGATCTACCTATGATATAGAAAAATTGTGGGATAAGATGGGACATAAATTCATTATGATTTTTGTGAATGGAACAATATATGTTTACATATTATTTTAAATATGTTGTGTATTCCAAACAATATATTGTTTATCATTTTTCAAATGTTATTATTTTACTTTTATGCTTTTATATTTTTTAGGTCATTTCCCAACAACTACTGGGACAAATTTGTTAAAAGAAAGGTAATACTTCTCAAAAGGAATGCATTCTCTGTTTCTTTCCTAGAGCACAATTCAGACTTGAATTTGATGTGGCTCATATGTAGAATATTGAGGTGTGCTTTATCTGTCAATGTCAATTTCAAAGTGGCAGTGGAATTGAATATGAATTTCAAAAATTGCACGTAAAAAAACCCATACTCTCTAGCTATAAAATAAATAAGCACTGCTTCATCCACCTATCCTCTGACTCAGGCGAATAAACGGTGCTCAGTCCGCACAGTAACAGGACTTAGTGAGAATTTTCTCTGTGATTGTTTGGGTAACCTAAATTAGCTGATGGCCATTTTCTGATAAGACAGCTATAAATCACCAGGGCTGGAATCCTGCTTTACATTACAGAAGTCAAGCCCTTGCATGACAACAAAGGACTGAGTTTTATTTACTTTATATAAACTTTAAAGATCTTTTTATTTTCATCGTTTTATTCTTCTGATGCCCACTCCCTCAGAGGGTGGTAGAAAGAACACCAATACGGAGTCAGTGGTCCACTGTGGCACCGGCTGAGTCTGATTTTGAGAGTCAAGGATCATCTCTGCTCTTTCCACCACACAGAATTTTAATGTTAATCACATTTTGGAATGAAATAATATATGTGCCATTACTTGTATGTCGTAAAATACTATGATTATACGCTAGCTCCTACTTATTCTTTGAACCTTTCTAATTGCCAAACTGACCCCAGCTCACCCTCTGTTCCATAATGGGTTCTAGTCCCAGAGGATGCTGTCTGAATAGACAGAAACACCTGCCAAATGAAGTGGTCTTGTTCCCTTGGATTTCACCAGTTCAGTGTTACTCAGGATGGTTCGCAACCAGCAGTCGCAAATTTTGTTACCAGTCTGAGGGGAGATAGAAGGCTTGCACCAGGAATTTAAGTCAGGTACATGATGAAACACAGTGACTTTTTTTTTTTTTTCTTAATAACAAGACTTTCTAGTTGAGAGAAGTAGCATGTTTGTCAATTTTTATTTTGGTGCAAGTTTTTTTTTTTTTTTTTAAGATTTTATTTATTTATTTGACAGAGAGAGACACAGTGAGAGAGGGAACACAAGCAGGGGGAGTGGGAGAGGGAGAAGCAGGTTTTCCCGCCGAGCGGGAAGCCCGATGCAGGGCTTGATCCCAGGACCCCGGGATCATGACCTGAGCCGAAGGCAGATGCTTAACGACTGAGCCACCCAGGCGCCCCTATTTTGGTGCAAGTTTTTTGTCTCCTTGTGTGACCTGGCATTTTGAGTAACATTGCTCTGCCTCCGAGCACATCCAAACTAGGCCAAAGCTTTGAAAGACTTATTTTTAAATAATTTTAAATAGTTTGATCATTTTAGTCTCCTTAATTACTTAATGAAGAAACTGCTTTAAATTGTTAAAGCACAAGTTTCTCGGAAGGAAACTACATATTCAGAGTCAAATAAATAAATTGTAATTGCAGCTAGGACTCTTAGTGGCATTTCTAGTGTGTGTGTGTGGTGTGTGTGTGTGTGTGTGTGTGTGTGTGTGTGTTGCCCGATTTGTTCTCCTGGGAAGAAGGTGAGAACACAATCCAGAGGGAGCAACCACTCGGCTCATCCCAGCCCGTCTGTAGTGCCGTGACAATAACCCAGAACAAGTGTTTTCATGAACCTTTGTAATCAGTGTTCACAGACTCTTTACTCTTTCATGTTTTCACTTACCTTGATTATATACATTTAGAGAAAGCTGATTTTTATTTTTATTTTTTTTAGGAATTATTTATTTGAGAGAGTGAGAGAACAGGGTGGGAGGAGGGACAGGGGAAGAGAATCTCAAGCGGACTCCCCACTGCGCGCAGAGCCCCACACAGGGCTCTATCCCATGACCCTGAGATCAGGACCTGAGCCGAAACCAAGAGTCAGACCCTTAACCGACCAGGCCCCCCAGGTGCCCCTGATTTTTCTTTCTCTTAGTCCCTTCTTCTTTTCCATTAGTGTATTTCCTCATCCACTCTCACTGGCATTCCCTGGCTCCTTCCCCTCAGCGGCCGGTCCTCTCTCCTTACTCTTCCTGCTGCCCCCACTCTCACTGTGTGGGGAACTCTTGTGGTCTGTCAGCGTTGGGTCGAGTGGCCGTGTCACGGAGCCGTGCTTCCTGGGCTCGGGGGTGAGCTGTGGGCAGTCTACGCACTGGTCTGAAAACACGACACCTGGGCCAGGCCGGGCGCATGCGGCCGAGGGACAGAGGGGCCAGGGCGCTGAGGGGGTTGCTCAGAAGGGATTCGAACGGTGCCCCAGAACCTATGAGGTGGGTGACAAGGCTCCAGGGATTCCTGAAGGGCTGCTCCAGTCAGGAAACAATGGGAGGGAGTGTTGGATGGTGGCAACTGAGACCCCAGAGGGGATGCCATCACGAGGGGCCCACCCTTGGTCCACGGTGGTCCGTGCAGATCTTGGCTGCGAGTCAGGCCCTGCTTGGAAGCATTCTCATTCCGTCTCTTGCCAAGCTTAGCAACCTTGAGCGTGTTCTATTTCCTAAGACACAACTTCTTTATCTGCAGAGGAGGATGCTAATAACAGGAAACTGATATACGGTGACAATCCCATGAGGGAGAGCAGGTCAGAGTTCTTACCGTAATTCCAGGCACAAAGTATGAGAATTTGGTTGAAGTTCCTTTGATTCCATCTTCTTCCACTTCTTGACTTAGATACTTGGCCTAGCCCCTTCCTTTGGCACACCTCCCTAGAGCAAGAAATCTTGTTCCTTTGAGAGGGTTTATCTAAAACACTGTAAGCTTGCTTGGACCTTAAGCAGTGCGATCACAGAAAAGGAGCCATAAACAAGAATTTTAAGTGAACTTGAACATACGGCAAATAAGGAGTAAGTGTAAAAAATAATTAGATGTTTGTATACACATGCATACAGGGGGTTAGTTAATGCACGAGGCCGGTAAAATGCTTTTATTCCTGTCCCCCAGGTTATGGATAAGTACGGAGAGTTCTATGGCCGGGACAGAATCAGCGAGCTCCTCGGTATGGACAAAGCTGCTCTGGACTTCAGCGATGCCCGGGAGAAGAAGAAGCCGAAGAAAGACAGCTCCCTATCGGCCGTGTGAGTGTTGCTTATGCCCTTTCCTATAGCTCTAGACTGAAAAGAGGAGAAATTCAGACGTTTCTGAACTTGATAGTACACTGATTTCCTTCCCCTCAATGTCTGAGGAAGAGCGGAGGGAAACAGATGTACCTAAGGTCTGCTTTAAACTTCCGGGTATTTTCAGCTATGGACTGATTGGATTTCTTCCCTAATAATTTTGGAAGGTGACCTTTTTATTTACATAAAGGAAAAATAAAGATTTGTGTTCTTAATTTGCTTTTTCTAATCCCTAAATGCCACTTAAATCAAAGTCAAACATATGCAAAAGCACCATATTTGACTTTCTTTTCTGATGCTTCCTGCCTGAAAAGAGGTTAATCTTTTTTATGTTTTGGAAAAGGGAATTTGTGTAGCCCTTTTATTAGAAATGTTCAAAGTTCATATTCTTTTATTATAATGTGTTTCATTTAAATAGCAAAGACTCGTATGCCAGAAATACTATGTTATCATGCTGTTACCTGGAAATTTAATTTTTAAAATGAGGCACTCCTAATACCGTGCTTTAAGGGAATAATATATAACTAGAAGGATGTGAACCAGTTAAACTGAATTTGCCTGAGATGGAATTTCACACACACACACACACACACACACACACACATATGTAGTGTTGAGTGTACATATATATACATATATATTTTGCAAATTGGATCACCTGTAATTCTGGAATAAATGTAAAGCATACATGCTTTTAAAAATGTAATTTCTTATTGTAGCCATTTAATGAGTTTAGAGGAAACACAATAGTTACCTTCCCTTTAAAACATGTCAACCTTTCTTATTTGTGTATTTATGTCAGTCAACTAGGATGTGATGACTGTAGATATTTGAGGCTCTGTAGGGTAGTATTATTTTGTCTCAGATAAATATTTTAGCTAGCATTAAAAAAAAAAAACATTTTGGCTGACCTATCTCATTGGTCATATATTTTTTATCTGAAAAGTTGTTAGAGCTACATTTTTTTTTAAATAATATGAACTCAGTTGAAAATTAGACAAGCAAACATATGACAGAAACTGCAAGAATTTAGATCCAAACTATCACCTGGGTACTTCAAGAAAACACATGTGGGACTTAAAGACTGTGTCGCTGGATAGAAAATGAAGCACATTGATGGTGCTGAGAACTGAGACCCTTATGGTAGGATTTCATATAAAACAAGGACTGTGGTCAGAGTGGTGCTGAGCTTTCTATTAACATTTTCAGATCTCTGACAAACAATGTACAATCAACTAGTTTTACTGGATTATGCACTTTCCATGGCCATATTTATGACCCTAGAACATCAGTCTGAAAAATGGAAAGTTTAGACTGGTTTTTTATTGTTGGTTTTTGTGGGTTTTTGTTTTTTTTTTTCACTATGAACAAATAGTTTTAAATCAGGGGAATTTTCCATTATTTCACCTAGGAAATGTTTGCAAGTTTGACTCCTCACAAAGTACCAAGAAATTAATATGGCATTATTACCTTTATTTTTTTCTTAGTTTTTTTTTTCCCCAGGCATTAATACCTTTAAATATGGATAATAAAAATAGAAAAATACACATCTAGTAAATAATGTTCACAACTAGGAAAGAGTTACAGGTAGTGTTCCTTTATTTAAAACATTTAGAAAGATCTTTAAAAGATTATCTGGTTTGTATATTATCTTAATGTGAACGTTTGAATACAAGCATGATTCATATATCTGTTTGCACATGTATTTGCCAATGAAATATATAGGGCTTGTCAATCAAATGAATAGGTGGCCAGATTACCTCCTGGGGATTGAATGGCTGCCTGCAGCCTACATCTTTTCATTTCATTTGTGGCATATCTCAAAACCTAGCAAGCTGGCAAAAAGCCAGCAGAAGCTTATAGTTTCCCCCTGAACCAAGTGCTGTGGTGAGGTGAATGCATGCCCTGGCTGGCCTAGGTCAGCTATCGCCCATCCCTGGGGGCCAGCCCCACCCAAACATCAGTACTGCCAAGATTGGTGAGAAAAGTGTCCCGCACTAGGAAAAGGATATGCTTCTTCATGATGTTGATAGCAGACTTTGATAGGGATGAAAAAAAATGAGAACAGCGTTTTAAATAAAGAAACTGCCATAGGACATTCAGGCATCCTGATAGAAATACTTACTTTTAGATTGCTTTCATAGAAAATAATCATGCTCCCGAGCATTTTACCACATTTTTTCCCCATTTTTTTCTTTAAGAAAATAATATAGTTTTGTATTGAAACCCATTGTAAATATTCACGGAACTTTAAAAAATATGCTTTAGCAGGGGTGCCTGGGTGGCTCTATTGGTTGATCATCAGACTGTTGATTTTGGCTCAGGTCATAATCTCAGTGTTGTGGGATTGGATCGAGCACTGTGTAGGGCTCCATGCTCAGCAGGGAGTCTGCTCAAGATTCTGTCTCTCTGCCCCTTCCTCCACTCTGTCTCTAAAATAAATTTAATATTAAAAAGTGTTCTTTAGTAATAAAATTGATTCTAGCTCAAAGATAACTTTATTTCCTTAAAATAAAAAGTCCTGGGGCACCTGGGCGGCTCAGTCGGTTAAGCATCTGCCTTCAGCTCTGGTCACGATCCCAGGGTCCTGGGATCAAACCCCGCATCAGGCTCCCTGCTCAGCAGGGGAGTCTGCTTCTCCCCCAGCTTGTGCTCTCTTGCTCACTCTCTCTCTCAAATAAATAAATAATATTAAAAAAAAAAAAAAGTCTTGGGCTAAGGTCAATAAAACTTTGGGGGCGAAGTCTCCTAAGAAGTCAGTTTTGATTGGCAATGATTGATCCTAGCATTTATAATTTAAGATTGGCCTTCTTAAAAGAAATGACTAAAGAAGTAATCAAAGACTAAAACAGTAAGTCTAGAGAAGCCCTTTTGAAAATAATGCTAATATTATATTGTGTTATATTAGTTACCTGGAATATTGGAAAGGCGAACAAAGGTATAATTTTTAGCCCATAAATCAGTGTCAAGTTCTGAAAAAAAAATTAGAAAGTATATTTTAATACGAGTATTTAATCTGCAAAGATCATGAATATTTATGCTAAGATTTATTCACTCAACATGTATTTATTGAGAGACATTCCATGTATGATATAATGTGCTTGGTGGGCTAGGGAGCTCACAGATTAGGGGGAAAGGCATAAATGTATACATAGATACCTACACAGCCATGACCACACAAGGTGAGTAATCATAGTAAGTCTAAGTCTACAAGGTGCTCTGGGAACCAAGGGGAAGAGGTGAATCCCTTCTTGGGTAGAGAAGGCTTTTGAGAACAAAAGGAAACACAAACAAGATGAAAAAGGCCTTTCACTGGCAAATTAAGTACAGTTGTAAAATGAATGTGCCTGTTTATGCAAGTTTTTATTCGTGTAAGTAAAAATTATTTTGTTGGAATGCATTTACCAATGTATAATGAAAGCTAGTGAGGACACTTGATGCACCCATGTTGGTTAATCTGGCAGAGTTTCCAGGGATCATTCTCACCTAAGAAGTGAGTTAACCTTCTATGTAATGTAGAACAAGGAAGGGCTATTCTTAAATCATAGAGGTTGAAGGTGGTGATGTTTTGTTTTGTCTTCCAAGATCCCTCTGAAAAGGCATCTCAAAACCCTGTATCATATCATCCACCAGCTCCTCCCTTGGCGCCCGGGAAGGAACTGATTTCCCAAGAAGGTTGTTAGTCTCATCCCATGGGAGCAATGCTGGCAGCTTCTTGCAGTCCTCTGAGTCTCTGCTACATGTGCATATCTACAAATTCTTCTTTGTCTTTCCAGACTGAACTCTATCGACGTGAAGTATCAGATGTGGAAACTAGGAGTCGTCTTCACTGACAACGTAAGCCCCCCTTCATTTCCACAAAGTATACCACACTCACATTAGATGAGTCTGCTGGGCTTCTGATGAATCCCAGTTACTTAAGAAAGTTAATCAAGTATCAATTCATTTAATACAGATCATTACTTGACAATGACCCAGGGAAACACAGGCTTAATTAGCCGATCTCTCATTCCATTTCTTTCAATAGCCAAAAGATTAACATGAAAATATATTTATATAAGAAAAATTTGAAACTGAGATGCAAATTCATGTGTATTTTCATTTAGGTTTTAGTTGGGCAGTGGCATACCTCAAAGTTTGAGACGTTAAAATGAAAGTTCTAAATAAATAAAATTTAAAAACATTAACTGTGATAAATTTAAGTTTCTCCCAATTAAGTACGTTGGAACTATTCTATTTCTTGTTCTTGATCAATCCTTCTTTTCTCAGAGAGTCTAGGAGCCTATGAACTACACGTAGGGCCCAAGCATATGTACAAACATAAGGAAAAAAATCACCTAGTACTAAAAGCCACCAGCTGTCAGCTCAGTCAGTCATATTTTACGACCCTGGCTTGCTCAGTAGCTGTACATTTTTGACTTTTAGAATTTTCAGTTTTAAAAAATTGTTACCATCACTCTTTTTTATGCTCCCATTTGTTGTCAATGGGAAGTTGCTGGAGACAGTCATGAAACTCTGCTGGATGGATCAACTGTACATTTCCTGCTGTGGGGTCTCAGCTTATCTCCTCCTGCAGGCTCATAATCCTCTTACCATATCCTCACACACCTGTGAAGGGGAACGTACAGACAAACCCAAAGGCTTAGCCCTAGGCCTTCCACTGTTTTTGCTTTTGTGCTTTCTCCCTTGGACATCTCATTTAGTCTCAAAATGTCACTCTAATTAGCACTGACTTTTATAGTGAACGTTAGTTCTACTCTCCTGAAGGCACATGGCACCTCCCAAATTCTCCCACCTCCATCCTTAGCCCTACCACGCCCAACCATGGGCCCAGAACTCTGAGGCTCTTAGAGAACTCTCCAAAGAGCTCGTAAGCAAGTCTTGAAAGTATCCTTTGGAACTGTCAACTGTTAATAAGATGTCCTATGGACTAATTTCTCATCTAATAATGGAAGCATCTCCCTTGGGTCAAAAGACCACCTCATCTCCAGCAGTGGTGTTTTCCATTCAAGTAGCCCCACTGACTTGGCCTCTGCCTGTGAAGGTCCATCTTCCCTGACCTCCTCATATGCCACAGTAATACTCATCTTGCCATGCAGTTTTCTTGTCCTCCAGAGAATTGGGGCATGGACAAACTTCTTCAGACTTCTTCCTGATAGAGTATTCTCATATATCACTCATCCTCCTGCAGTTTCATGGCTTCTGTTTGGCCAGTCACCTCTCAAATATTGTCTTCAATCTTCAATAGTGCAGTTTCTGTCTGAAACACAGTGGGGGTTACCAGATGCAGTACAAGATTCCTAGTTAAATTTCAGATAACTAAATGTAGACACTTATGTATTTATGCTCACAAATAAATATATCCCAAATATTGCAGGGGACATACTTAATCTAAAAATTACTTATTCTTGGGGCACCTGGCTGGCTCAGTCAGTGGAGCATAGGACTCTTGATCTTGGGGTTGTGGGTTTGAGCCCCACATAGGGTGTGGAGATTACTTAACATCTTCTCTTGCTCTTTCTTAAATAAATGAATAAAATCTTTTAAAAAAAGGGGGGGGTTGCCTGGTAGCACAGTCGGTTAAAAATAAAATCTTAAAAAGTAATAATGATAATAGTTCTTCTTTACCTGATGTTCTGCTGTAACTGGGCAGCCTTTGTTTTTATTTGCTAAATCTGGCTAAGCAGAGACCCTGTGTGGTCTACACACGTATCTCCGGCTCAGCTTATCACCTGTATTAGGCCTCTCACTCACATTAGGTACACAAACTTGTCCTTTCTCCTCGCCCTTTGCATTTCTTACTAGCCTGCTAGATGTGTCCATCCGGAAGTCCCGTGACAAATGTATCCTCCCCTCTCCTCCCCACTAAATGCAGTCCCCTGTCTGCCATTGCCTCTCTCTCAGTATCTTCTACGCTCACATGACCAGTTTGGACTCCTCCTTTTCCTTCAATATACACATTTAATTATGTGCCTGATTGGACTGTTCTTCTGTCCTCTGTGATTCTCCCTTCTGCCCTGGCCAGTTCTGCGGCCAGTCGTGGCTCTCATAACCTCACCATCTGGGGGCGTCCAGTGGTCTCCTAACGTAATGGCTCTGCCCCTTACACCTTCTTTTAGTAAGGAGCTTGACCAGAGTGAGCTCACTTTCCTCATTTGTAAATTTGGGGCTAAAATTGCCTACTTACCAGGGGTCTTGCTAGACAAATACATGGGGCAGTGACCAGCACTTGGCAGGTGCTCAAGACACGTTCCTAAGATGCTGCTTTTCATACACCATTATTCTGTACGATGCTCCAGGGGCTCTCACGGGCCAAAAGATGTGCCCACATCCCTTCACTTGGCCTTAAAGCCTTCCAACCCTGCTTCATATTTCCAGACTCTCATCTCCTGAAACGGAAACTCACTCTAAAGCCAAACTGTCATTCTTGAGCACATTCTCCATAGTCTTATCTCAGTGTCTTTTTTCAAATACTGTTTTTTCTCAGCCTGGTTTCTAACTTCAGCCCCAAGCTGCCCATAAAAACTCTGTACTCCCTCAGCACCCCCGTCTTGTTTTTGTTCTAAGGTCTAAGATATATTCTGGTCAGAATGAAGGTTTCCACCCCTTCCCAAAATAGGTAGCTCCCGACCCCACTGGCAAAACATGCCTTTTGCCCAAGAGACTGTAATCCAAAAAGTAAGCATGATCACAGTATCTTCCTTCTCCTTTATTCATTCCCCTCCCCTCAAAAATATATACATTTTCTAGCCTCTGTAAAGTTAATCCCTCACATTGATTGTAATCAAGATTTCTACAGATAGTACCAATTGTATCATTAGGTTTATTATAGTGTTCAGTGACATTAAATAGCATTTGCATTTTCTCCTCGACTTGTTTTGGCTCACGTGAAGTGAGATGCTTGGTTAAGAAGACACCACATATAATCTCTCGTAACTAGTAGGTCTCAACAAACCCTGATTTAGTAAGTAAATGAAAAATGAAAGAGGAAAGGAAAAGAGGGAAGGAAAGTTGGTTCTTTGGTTGACTGTACAGCAGGGGCTCCCAGCGGGGGCAGTTTTGTCCCCCAAGTGACATTAGGCAATGTCCGGGGACATCTTTGGTGGCCAAGGCTAGGGAGGGAGCTCCTGGCATCTGGTGGGTAGAGACTAGGGTTGTAACTAACCATCCTACATGGATGGTCCCCCACAACGAAGAATTATCCTGTGTAAACTATCAGTAGTGCTGAAGTGGAGATCCCTTGCTATCAAATATTAAGTCAATAAAACTTTCTCTGTGGGAAGATTCGCAAGAACACCCTCTCTGATATAAAGGAGAATGACTTTGAACCTCTCAGAACTAAAGGAAAATAAAATACACAAACTGATGTCACTACTTAGAATGATATAAATGTATAGACTAAGAAGTAAATGAAGTGATTATAGTAGAATGAAATCAGAGTAGCTTTTGACAGTAGTCACTCATTCTATATTCTGATATGCTTCCCTCCTGTTTTGTCTTCTCAGTCCTTCCTCTACCTGGCCTGGTATATGACTATGTCCGTTCTTGGACACTATAACAACTTTTTTTTTGCTGCTCATCTTCTTGACATTGCTATGGGATTCAAGACACTAAGAACCATCTTGTCATCAGTAACTCACAATGGCAAGCAGGTAAAAGTTGATCTTTTTTCCCTCCTGCAAAAACCAAAAAAACCCAACAAATAATATACTAACCCAAATAAACCCAACCTCCAATGGCAATATGCAGTTGTAAAGATTTTTGTGAATGGGGGATCTGCACTTTTTCTTTTATAAAGCATGAGGATTATTAGTTGAAGAGTTCCCTAAACCCACCTTCAAGTCTTGGCTGTGACCTTGGATGACTTACTTAACATTTTTAAATCTCTACTCATTTTGTAAAATGAATACAGTAAAAGTACCTGCCTTTTAGAGTTTGGGGGAAAATTAAATAAAAACATAAATGTGGAGGTGTTAGCACAGGCCCCGGCACATAGGAAACACCCCCAGGAAATAGTTAATTTTTTCCCAATATGATATTTGCTCCATTTGATACTATAGGGAACCAAAATGTGTTGTAGCATCCTGAGGCACTAGTTGTAATAGTAATAAAACACGAGATGCCACATTCTTAATTTAATGGAATATTTCAAAAGTGGATATCTAGGTATTCTTTTCTCTACTTTTAAATTGGGCAGAAAAAATAGTAATGTTTCATACTTGACAGGGTCATACTTAGAGTACTTATGTAATAATGGCTTAGTTCCAGATGATCGATTTATGTTTTAGTGGAGCCCAACTAAATGTGAAAACTTTCATTATTAATAAACTTACTGTAGAAGCATGTATTAATTGATTCATTCTCTATCAAGTGTCCACTGGGAGAGATAACACATTCTATGTCAGTTATTTGGCTTAACAGAGTCCTTTTCCAGAATTTTATAATCCAGCATATTTTTAAATACGCACCCCTGCAAAAAACTTGAACCATGCCCACTGTTAAATTCACATGATTCAGTTAAATTATCATGATCTTTAGTTTCCTAAATTTCAACACATTGTTCTTTTATATGCCATTTTAGTTTCTGAATGTTTGACATTAGCAAAAAAGTGTACTATGCTTATTCATTCACAGTATTGAGTTCCTAATATATTTAAAGAACTGGAGATGCTGAATCTATTGTGTATTTTCACACAAAAGTTCTGGCACTACTTTCAGTTAACTTCTAAAATTTTGTTGTGATTATTCCTTTTCTTTTTGAGCTATCAGTTTTTCATTTGCAGAAATCTAGAGAGCTTCATAGTCCTTATAGGTAAAACATGCAGAAATTTACAGTGGCATTGTACTTAATTTACAGAAGTGAATTAAGCCCTCTGTTCAGATAACATGTTTTCTCCAGATAATTATAAAGTGATTTTTGAACAACTTAATGTATGCCGCCACAGTCCAGAACATAGGGATTCGTTGTAGTCAGAGGAAGTAGAAAAGAAAATGCATTTTGGTGTGTTTAGAGTTTGTGATAAAAATAGAAATATATTTCACCAACTTGGTGAAAGTCATGTTTTCAACATAGACATACCATGATCAATTTGGACATGAAAGTAAATCAGAGTTTATTACTATTCCAGCTGCAGTATGCATTTACTTGCCAATTAAGTAGGGAAGTTTTGCATGAAATAGTCTGAAAACTTGATAAAATAAAGAGAATATGAAAATAAACTCCCACCCCCTGGGGGGTAAGAAAGATAGGGAGTGAGCTATGGATTCCATTACTTTCCAGTCAATAAATCCAGCTATGTGCTCATAGAAAGCTCTCCTCCCTGATGTCAAATATGCCAGTCATATATGTCTTGCATTTCTAATGCACATTCAATTCACATTGCTTTCCAGCTTGTATTAACCGTTGGCTTACTAGCTGTTGTCGTATACCTATATACGGTGGTGGCATTCAATTTTTTCCGAAAATTCTACAATAAAAGTGAAGATGGTGATACTCCAGATATGAAATGTGATGATATGCTAACGGTAAGTTCACTTTGATCTCATACGAATGAAAAAATTCTCCTGCTTCTTCAATCCAAATGGTTGTGTACTTATTCTTCAGCCATGTGGAAGAGAATAACAGCATACACAGTAAAAAGTTGTGTGGCTCTTTAAAAAAAAAAAAAAAAAAAGTTTATGAAACATAAAGGAGCATTTCTACTGTTTTTGCACATCTGCAGCACCAACCTGATAATGAGTAAATTTCCTGCATAAAGAACTTAGAACTGGAAGGATTAATATGCACACTTTAGCTAATTGGTTCATAGATTCCAGGACAGCAGGTAAAATTATTTCCTTGGAAAATATTTTGAAGCCCTAATGACTCGTTCACTGTAATGGTATTAACTGACGTCACTGAAGTCCAAAAATAAATCTCTTAATAGAACTGTTAGTTTTTGCTTTTATATTCAGTATCCTGGCTTAAATTATCTTTTTAGTCTTGGTTTTAAAATCAACGGATGTGAAAGTTTTCATATTGGTCTATCACTGTTCTGTAACCCACCTCTCTGAAAATGGCATATCAGAAGTTATCCGACATGAGATCCTAGATTGGAAATATGTACCTCTAGCTGAAAGGATAGGAATTCTTCATTGAGCACCAAATCAAAATACCTACATCCATGGGGTTAGTGGGGTAAGAGACTAACAAAATGATAGTAAAATTACTCTAGAAAAAATAAACATCCCAAAAGAGTAGTGAGAGAGAAGCAATATTATAAAACTAGTACTTCAGGCAGGTTTTGAACTAGAGAATTATAAATCTATAGGACAAGATAGTCTAGGAATACATTCAGACACACTTGGAAATTAAAAATGCAATAAAAGTGGCTTCTGAGATCATGAATGAAAAAGAATTCAATAAATAGTATTGGTACTATGGATGTGCTTTTGAGGAAATTTAGATAAAAATTGATACCAGCCTAGTTCTTTAAATCAAAATAAATCCTGAATGGAACAAATATTTTAATGCAAAAAAAAAAACAATTTGACTTTTGAAATAATAACAATTTTTATGGGAAAAAGGTATTTCTGAGTATGACATAAAACCTAAAATGCATGGAAGCTTAAAAACTTACTTTAAAAAGGAACAACTATAAGCAAAATCTGAAGACAAATGAGAAACTGGGAAAAATATACTCAACACTATAACAAAGGGCCAGTGTCCTTAATTTACTGAGTCCTTATCACATCACTAGGAAATAAACAAGCCAAGAGAAAAATGAAGACTATGTCTAGACAACTGGTGGTAAAATTCAGTCAGCTTATAAATTGGGAAAATGCTTACCCTCTACTGTAATTAAAGAAATGCAAATCAAAACAATTAACTGCCACTTTTTACCTATCAGGTTTGCAAAATATTAAAGTTTGTTAATACCCACAGTTGTTAAATTGATGGGAAAACTGGCATTTTCATGAATACTGTTGGGAATTTAAATTAACACAATGATTTTATTTTGCAAGATCTCTCACATTTTTAATTGTACTTACCCTTTGCCTTGTCAGTGCCCCTGCTAGTATTGATTTAAATGTTTATTTACAAATATGCTCCTGTATGTTCAGGGATACTTGCTGCTATCATAAATTGGAAATAATCTAAATTATCAGCAGAGTCCCAATTAAGTCAATATGGCAAATCCATACCACAGAAAAGTAAGTAGCTATTTAAAAATAAGACAGATCTGCACATGTTGATATAGAAAGACATACAAATTGCATTTAAGTGGAGGGAAGCAAGATCTTGAACAGTATTGTAAGAGCCTAATTGTGCGCATGCGCGCACATACACACACGTTAGAATGCACGTATTAGGTATGCTATGATATGGATACAGTGTTTCTAGAAGGATACGTAGTAAACTGTTAACAAGGGTTCCTACAGGGAGTTGGACCACAGGTTAGGGAGAGAATAAACAGTCAAGAGACTGGTCACTGGTAGCATAATACCCACCAGAATCACTAACATGCAACACTTTATAATCAGTAAGGAAGTACTTTCGAGATCCTTCACCTCCTCTTCTGGGAGCTGCTTTTAATATCCACCTTGCTTCTCTACCTGATGACCCTGAAGACTAGGGGTAGCAGGTGGCTAGAGGCAGGGAGGGGATCGGAAGGCTGGAGGAAGCGACAAGGCACAAAAGAAACTCAGTAAATACTAACAGCAGGCCGTTGTGTCTCCATTGACTCCAGGGAGATTCATTTCTATTCCAGGAGAACCCCCTCCCACCCCTTCCCCTGTGGTTCTAAATCTCAAAGTCCACGTTCCCCAGGTCAGAAGGTTTACTAAGGTCATTCTCAGAGGGTATGGTGCTCATGCATTGCTGAAGAATGCTGGAAAGGCGGGATGACTTCAGGGAGTGGTACTGAGTGGCCTGTCTTAGGGAGTAGGAACAGTGGGGCCTTTGTTCCCTGCCCCGTCTCCTACCACAGTGGGACCCCTGCAACATCCTGGTCTCCCCTTCTAACATCATGAGTCAGATGTGACCCTGTTCAATTATCCTAATGGTATCCTTGGATGACTACATTTTGAATATCACTCTCAGTATGTGTTTCCATTGCTTTTGTAAATTTTGCCAACGTACTTATTATGAGAAGAATCCAGGCGTGATTTGAACAAGAGGTGGGTTAGGAAGACAACTAACTGCCTTCACCAATTGCATGGGGCATGTATGGAGAAGGCAGACAAATTCGCCTCGCTGTAGGAGGAGGAAATAAGGCTTCTTGGGATATTTTCAACTATGGGCTCAGGACTGAGCCTGGATTTTGCTCGGTTGAAGGGGTTTCTGCTCTTACCAGTGAGACTACCTACAACCAGCTCTGTTGTGCGTGTTTATATTCCTACGCATGACAAGCTTTCTGTCTTGCCTTTGGCTGGGGTAAGGTTGGGGGCATCACAAGGATACCTCTTAGAAGTTTTTTTCTTGCCAAGATACAAGCACCATCTCAGCTGCCAGTCCTGTGTATGGCTGTCGAGAGGACCAACCACACGGGAGGCTGCGTAGCTTTGCACGTGCCCGAGTCTAGCTGATGGTCCTTAAAAACTGTTGCATCACAGGCCACATGACCTAGATTTCCCTTACAGTGTTAGGTCTCAAAACACCTTTTAATTTGCCTCTTGCTGATACTCCTGCAGGGAGGTTTGAACAAGCCAACAACATGTAAAATGCAACTGATCACTTATGGTAGTGCTCATCAGAAGTCATGGCTTAGCACAACCAAGCAGCCAGCAAGACAGAAGGATGGAGTAGGAGGTGGTCAGGTTTGATTTCTTTCATGTGTTTCTCACAAGAGAATCCTTCCTTTATCATCTCTAGCATTTAGTCTTCACAGGGGGAAGCCTAGTATTGTTTGCTTGAGATAGGTTTTCTTCACTCATGCCCTATTTTCTGGGCATCATGCTGAGCTTCCACTGCCTTTGTTATTTCTGGCTGTTTCCTAGGGTATTGTAGGAACATTTTAGGTTTTCACAGGATCTTGGTTCACCTGCCAGTGTTTCATACCTAACAGCAGGTGGCGCGGTAGCTGCAGTTTTTCAGACTAGGTGATGCTTCAGATTTGGCTGGCTTCCTCCCTCCCCTCCTCTCCTCCCTCCCTCCCCTCCTCTCCTCCCTCCCTCCCCTCCCCTCCCCTCCTCCTCTTCCTTCCTCTTTTCTTTTTCTTCTCTTTCTTTCTCTTTCTCTACTTACTTATTTATTTAGGATCATGGTGTTTTGAGCCTGACAATCTAATTAAGCCATCAGTATCCTGAGAGAATTTGAACCTCCTCTCCAAGAAGATAGGAGGAGAAAGTGAAAAATGATCCAAAGTTCCAAAGTTCCAAAGTCCTGGGCAGAAAGATGATTGTAGCTAGATAGCCAGGGAGACTGACTTGGCATAAATAAAGACATTCATCTCAAAAGGGGTGGTTCTCAACCTCCAATGCACAGAGGATTCAGGGCAGCTCTTTATGAATCCACAGGTCAGTGAGGCCACCCCCAGATCCCCTGAATCAGAAACTGCAGGGAAGGTGTCAAGACCTGTGTATTTTTGGGAAAAAAACAAAACAAAAAAAAACCTTTCCAAACTTTCCAGGTGGTTGAGACAACTAGTCACTCCTGGGGAAGTAACCAGCTTAGGTGATTGCTTTTTTTTTTTTTTTGATTGATTGATTGACTGGTTTGAGAATGAGAGCATGCCAGTGAGCAAGAGGAGCCAGGGGAGGGAGACAAAGCCCCCCATGAGTGGGGAGCCCTAGGTAGGGCTCAATCCCAGGACCCTGAGATCACGACCTGAGCCAAAATCAAGAGTCGGACGCTTAACCAACTGCGCCACACAGGCGCCCCAATTCTGAATCACTTATTTTACTCTCACAACAAGTAATGTGTCTCTGTCTCGATCTCTCTTTCTCCCCCCCTCCCTTTTTTTGGTCAGGATAAAGATCTTGTAAGGGTCTTCACCAATCCACCAGCAACTGCTCCTCCTCCGTGTTTCCTAAAGCTGTTGCAAACAGTGCTTAACCCTGGAATGAATCCATTGAGATGGGTGACTGGGGCAGAAGCCATAGAATAGTAAATCTTGAGAATTAACAACTATTTCTAGTTGTTTGTAGTGCCAGGCACCTTGCTTCCTCGTGACTCAAAGTACATCTGTTTGTCTCCTGGAATTACTCTTTCCATTCTCCAGCTCTGACATTCAGGTTTGAGCTGATTTTATGAAAAGGAAGCTGAACGAGAGGTTTTCCATTTTCAGGAGCAGAATGATAACCTGACAACTAAAAGCCTGATGGCCCTAGGTTCACAGGTGTTTACCACACTATCTCATATTCCACCGTAGCAGCCATCTACCTACTGTTTCACCAGGTTGTGAAGGTTAAGGTTGGTAAAATCAGTATCAAAATCCCACAGGTGAACCGTGCATTTTATTCTTTTAAAATGTATCTTATTAAGCCTAAATAATCAAATCCGTAAGACTACCTATCTTTTCAGCATGGCCATAAGTCTATTATTGAAATATGGTGGTGTCCCTTTTTGGGCATCAATCAGAGTTGTCACAGAATGAAGGTGAGCAGAGAGACCGGGATATTGCTGGGAGGCTAGATGACTGAGATCTGAAAATCTGAGAATAGTAAATAGTAGACATTTACTTTGGTAATTTAGCCTCATTCCATGGTCTTGTCTCCAGCTGTGCATGTCTAGAAAATAAAAATGAATCATTCTCTTGAGGACAGACTCATATTAACCAGGCTCCTAAGAGTCAGATGTATGAGTCAGAATACCAACATCCTACTTGTTAAGAGTTTGTGCCACAAGTAAACACAAACTCTATGCTGGAAGCCAAATTATAATCCAAAGTCTTGGTTAGCAAGATTTCGCAAAAAGGAGCTAGATGATCTTCATCCCCTACACGTCAAAGAAGCAGGACTTGGAGAGCTCGGACATTCCAGACCCTGGATGGGGAGTGGCAGTGATACCCTGTTGGCCCAGTATGGGTAGAGTATGAGTGTGGGAGCCAGAGGGCCAGGATTGGATATGGAGAAGTGTCAGACCAGTGCCAGGCAGAGTGTCAACACTGAGTCCCCAGCCCAGAGAGGGGATTACAAACAAAGCTAAGTATGGTGAAGCCAGGAATGGGTGGCCTATGTTAGTTCACTAAGTAAAGAGTAGGCAGCTGCAATAATTATCTATTTCCCGTGGCCACGACTAAGCACATAAGACAGATTTGGAGAAAAACATACAACCCAAGCTTTTTCTTAATAAAAATAAATGCTTACGGTAAAAATAATCCTAACAGTATGCAAGAGTATACAGTGAAAATGAAATTTCCTCTTTCTACAGATCCACTGTTCTGGGTTTCAAGTACTGTTTTAGACACACAGTTATTGGAAATTAATGCAGTGTCCGGAGGGATATTTTTTTAAAAGACTGTCTTCAAAATTTTACTTCCAGAGTTTGGTTCAGTAGGAGGTACCAGGAATCCCCAGCGTTTATGCCTCTAGGAGATCCAGATGCAGAGTTTGGTTTAGGCAACATTGGTCTCATTGGGCTCTAAAGAATGACTTTCCGGGCCTCTCTGCAAGAAGGACCCCGTACCTAAGCTCCAGAACAGTTCTTGGGGTGGGGTGGGGGGGTGGGGGTGGGGTGGAGTGCAGAGCTGCCTTGTGATACTGTTCATTGTGTGTCAGGCTGACAAACTTCCTTTCTGAGTGATCCAATCTTTTTTTTAATTCTGTTCATTAAATTCCAGGCCTCTGACCCAAGAAACTTTTTATCTGTATCTATCAGTATTAGCTGTTCAACTATGAGCATTTTGGTGTCCCCTTGCTGCTGGTCCTATGCCTGCTCTTTGTGCTTTTTAAGGTGATCTGAGAATTTGAGGTTCATAGGTCAAGGCAGTGAAGTCTCCATGAGAACACTGATCAGTCATGACCTTTCACTCCTCGTTCATCCCACAAGTGATTTATAAGTTCCTATCACGTGCTGGACATTCTTTTAGGCACTGATAAGAGAGCAGTAACCAAAACAGTTCTTGTAATGAAGCCAATCCTAGTGGAGTGAGAGGGATCATAAAGCATCAAAAATAGGTAAATTGGAGATACAGCGCTGGAATTCAGGAAGGAGACCCATGGCATAAACAGAAATGTTTTTAATTAGCACAGAGTAATTAGCACAGAGATGAGAACTTAAGTAGGAACCTGGCACATTCCCTTAGGGAGTGTCCTAACAGAAGAAAGGTCAGAGAAGCCAGTGCTAGGGCATTGGTTCATGAAAAGATAGGGAGATGAGGAGGAAGTGGCCAATGAGGCTGAGAAAGAATGGCCAGAAATGCAGAAGAAAACGAGGGGATTGTGATGTCTCCCCAAGAGAACTGTGTCAAGCAAGGTCTTTGTCCCCTTCATCATGGCAGACAGTGGGTGAATGTGTCTTGCACTGGTGGGTGACATCAGTTGGGTAAATCAGAGTGTCAGGAACAGTTTAAGACGGTCTCATGGAGGAAGGATTAACTGAGGGTCGAAGGGATGAAAGGAATGGGATAAGAAAGTGAAATTATTTTTCAAGATGAGAATGTGGAAACCAAGACCTAGAACCCGGGATAGTTTATCTGAGAGGTGTGGGTAGGATGGAGGGTGGTGTTTGGGAGCCATGACTGATCATCGGAGAGGGGTGAAGTGTCACTAAATCTGAGGCGCCAACATGGAGAGTATGAGCTTATCCTGAATAAAGATAAATCATGGATGCTTTCAGCCACTGGCTCTCAACTGTTGTGATTTTGCCTCCCAGGGGACACTTGGCAATGTCTACAAACATTTTCGGTTATCCTCGGGATGGGTGCGATTCGCATTAAGTGGGTAGAGGCCAGGGATCCTTCTAAAATATCCTACAATGCACAGGACAGACCCCACACAAAGAATGGTCTGGCTCAGAATGTCAACGGTGCTGACGCTGAGAAACCCCTCCCTTTTCTGCAGTGGGCACGTGGAACTGTACTTACTATTGGTTGCTTTAATGTTTCACACTTTAAGCAATGAGCTGTTATTTCCTCCCTGCCTTTCCCCTGTCTTTGTTATTCTTCATGTTCGAGTAGAAAAATTTCAGCATCATATTCCATACGTGACAGATGAGGGGCCGGCGAGGCTTATCAGGTCTGTTTTTTTCTAGCTTAATTTCTGAGAGTCCATCTTATTATACACTGGGCTTTTACTTCCTCTTTCCTATGTCTGTTATGCTAAAAACACGAATAGGGTGATTAAGCATAGTCTTGTGGACTTCAGTGTGATCTTAACAGGATTACCTTATGCCAGATTCTAGTGAGGTATTTTTCATTCTCCGCCAAGTGTGACAGAAGGTGCTAAGCAGAGTGTGCAGTGCAGAGTTTTGTTTAAAAAGCAGCAGAGTGTAAAGGCCAAGTGTTGGCATCACAATCACAGATACTGAAACAAAAAGAGGCAAGGTAGAATGCAAAGATTCCCATCGTTTCCAGAGTGAGGATTAGGAACTAGAGGGAGAATCTTAGCTTTGTTGGATGTGAAAACAGGCAGTGTTCCTCCAAGAAGTGACCGTTTCTCTCCTTCCCAGTGCTATATGTTCCACATGTATGTTGGGGTACGTGCCGGAGGAGGTATTGGTGATGAAATCGAAGACCCAGCAGGCGATGAATATGAAATCTATCGAATCATCTTTGACATCACCTTCTTCTTCTTCGTGATTGTCATTCTCTTGGCCATAATACAAGGTAAGCATTGTCTTCAATGAAGTGCAAGAGGATGTAGAATGTAAGTCACCTGTTGTTTAAGCTAACAGTAAGGTAGGGTAAGGATGTCAAGTGCTTTCTGGAAAAGCCAAATAGAACTGTTCTTTTCAGGATTTCTTCATTCAAAATCTGTAGAGGGAAAATCAAAGCAGCATGGGACTCCATGGGACCATGGGGAGGATGGATATGGGACTCTTTTCCCATAACCTGATGGAAGGAGCACTTCCCTCAGTTTGACTCTCTGCCCTGCCACTGACTGACTTAAAATGTTGGGTGGGTGAGCCATGTAAACTCCTTTGGGTCTTTCAAATTGAAATTATATAAATCTCTAGGCCATAGTATTATTGAAAAGTTTTTTTTTTCTTTTAAAGAAGTGATATATATGAGTACCCAGGCAGTACCTAATGCACAATTAGGGCCTCCTAAATAATTTTAAGGCGATTGTCCTTGGATATCTACTATGTGCCTAGACATGTTTTCATTTTACCCTCATGCATCCTGTGAGAATGGTGGTATTATTTACATCTGAAGAAACTGAACCATAATACGTCTCAGTAACTTGGCCAAAGTGCACAGTTAAGAAGTGTCACGGCTGGAATCCAAACTCAGAGCCCTCACTTAAAACCAGAGTACCATATTGACCCACCAGTTCTTCCCTTTACTCCAAGGACACTTAGAACGTGGTGTTTTCCTCCCTCAGAAAAATCAATCTTGTTATCTTTTTGTTCATCCATTGATCCTGGCTTGAATTAAATGTCTATGAACGTGATATAATCCTCTGGGTTCTACGGGCACAAAACAGTACTTTTGTTTTCTTCCAGTAAAGTACATGAACAAGTTTAAAGGATTCATAATCCATCCTTTATGTCTTTATTGCATGTAACAATGATGTGTTTTACGAGAGCAAACTCGTAAATCCCTTGGAAGAGGTGCAGCCAGTGAGTCAGAGAAGGAAAAGGGTCTGAGGGAAAACAGCGCAGGGCGGTTAGTTCCTGGCTGACACAGTTAATTATGTGATGGCGAGTTTATTTGCCAGGAACTTGTGAAAAGAATGATTTGAGGCATGTTCCTCAGTTAATATGGTAATGTTTGATTTCCAAATTGGTACTTGAAAATCTCATTAATGGAGTTCTCTGCGCTTTCCAACCAGAAATCACAATTGCTCTTTCTCAGGGTGAAGTAGCGAGAAACATACCCTCTGTATGTGCTAAGGTAATGAAGGGTTTTTCCTGCTCTGTCCCTTCATTGTGAAACCCCTTCCTGCCCCCAGAGAGAGACTGCCGGGTGTGTGCTCACAACCTGTACCACATTCTGAGCATTTCCCGGTGGCTGTCCATCTTCCCTTTCCTTGGAAGGATTAGCCAAGGGGCTGTGAATTTAATAATTCTTCTCTGGTTGATAAAGATTAGAGTGTGTTTTTATTGAACACTAGGTTTAATTATTGATGCTTTTGGAGAACTAAGAGACCAACAGGAGCAAGTCAAAGAAGACATGGAGGTGAGTCTTTCCGTGTCTGGCTCAGCTTTGTTGCTGTGGGCACTTGTTTCCCCTACTGTCTTTATCCAAGAATCATGAATACGGGAGAAAGTAGGGGGAGGACATAAGCACCATGTGACTACCTTGGCCTGTTTCGGATCTGGGCAATACATACCCCTGACCAGTGTGCTAGGTGGGAACAGTGGCAGGCTCCGGGTGTATGCACACTAACATGGTACCATCCACCCCTCAAGGAGTGGGAGAACCACCCATTCAAGACGATGGATTCATTGACAAATAAGTAAACAGACAACTGCAAAGCAGTATGTTGAGCCCTTTCTAATAACTCAAAGGAGAACTTTATGGTGTAACTTAGAGGCTGTGGAAAACCAGAAATGGGTTTTAAGCATGGTGACGGGGGTTTACATTTACAAAGAGAACTATGGTTTAAAACATGGGGAGTACATTAGCAACTGGCAAGATCAGGGGCAGGGAAGCGGGCTGTGAGCATTTTTTCGGCAGGAGATTATGAGGCTCCTGCTGAAGAAATCCTCCGAAGATGCAGGGACCAGATGGATTCAAGCAGTACTTTGGGGTTGGCGTGAGAAGTGGGTGATGGGCCAGATGCAGAGGATGAAGGGTTTGGAGCAAGCAGGGAGGATACTCAGATTTCCAGCATGTGCTACCAGACGGATGGTGGCTCAGTTACACCCAGAGTAACTGCAAGAGGTAACACAGAGGAGGGGCAGGTTCATGAGTGAACTGTTACGTGTGAGCCTGTTTAGTTAAGACATCGAGTGCTATAAAGACCTATTGCTGTCCACAGTTGTTGATCAATAAGGCAGAGAGAATTTAATAAATTATTTTAATCATCTCGAGTCGAGGCCCTAGAATCTAAGGCATCGTAAACATGTCTTCAATGGTATTAAACAGTTTCTAATTTGCAAGGAAGATGAGCATCTGGAGCCACACGAGGGCCACAATGATTAAAATCACTCTAGTTGATACCTATGAAATTCTAATAATAAAAAAGAAAGCCTGCTTCTCTGGGTCTTGTGTGCCAGTCCTGCGGATGGCAGACCTGAGGAGGTGCTGCTCTAAGAGATAGGGTGAGAACAGGCAGGGTGCAGAAGGAGCAGCACCCCATCCCTAGAGTAAAGTTACCCCAGTACCTGTTCATTGGTTAATTCTGTATCTAGCACGGTGCCTGGCACACAGCAGACCCTCTCAGGCCTGGACTGAATACCCCACAGCTTGGTATTTGATTTGGCCCTCCCCAAATGGGAGTCATCTGTACCTTTCTCCCCTGGGTCATCAGACTTTGTTCAGGTAGGTGCCAAGTTTGTGGTCTCAGTCGAGGACACATTGAGTCTTGCCTATATAACTTCAGTCAACGTCATGAACTAGAGTGATCGCTAAGTCTGGGCATTCTCACTTAGGCTGGAGAAAATAAGGAAAAGACAGCGCTTTATGGCCCTCATTATGCTCTATGCTTTTAAGCCTCCAGTAAGATACAGTTGAGGCAACAGTTACATTAATATTCACGTGCTTGGCACAGCCTTCCCTCATGACCATCTACAATACTGAGTAAACCAAACAGCTGCTCCTAAGTGGTGAGTTGTGCGTTCCTTTGTTTTGCTTTCTGAAATCTGACATTTTAGTATTTCCCTTTGTCTTCTAGACCAAATGCTTCATCTGTGGGATAGGCAACGACTACTTCGACACGGTGCCACATGGCTTTGAAACCCACACTTTACAGGAACACAACCTGGCCAATTACCTGTGAGTGTACCTGTCTCAGACTCTTAGGCCCCTCCCTGTCTCACCAATGCCCCCTTCTCAGCAAGCTTGAGACACAGGAGAGAGATGCAGCTTCCTTTTCTTCATAGGCTTGAGCTCAGGCTTTGAGAGAAAGACCCACAGCTAGTGGTTCTCTTGTCCCCAAGAGGAGGTTCACATAAAGAACTTGCAGCCCTTCGTGTGAATGATACCTTCTAGAACATGAAATGGAAAGATGGAAAAGAATAAGTGGAATACACGCTCAGCCTCTCAGAGAGCCCTGGCCATGTTTCCCGTTTCAAGTAGGAAGACTCCAGCTCCTTCCTAGAGATCTGTGAATCTCCATTTTTCTTTTCTGAGGACCTACAGATCTCTTGAAGGCACTATTATCTCTAGATTTTAACATGGTTAAAAGTTCCTTTTTTTTTTTTTTAAACACATAGAAATGTGGCTATTGCTGACGACTAGCGCAAACTGCAGTTCGGTAAAATGTAATTCTTAGTTTCTAACGCAATTTTAATATCAAACAGAAGAGATGCAGAGTAGCTTTGTAGCAAAAGAAAAAAGTGGGGTTTGGAATTCACAGCTGTGGGGCATTTGGCAAGTTATTTAAAATTTTTGATCCCTGGTTTTCTAAGTGGGGATTGTGATTCCTAGCCCATGAGTGAATAAAAAAATACTTTTAAAAAAGGTTAAGTTTTTGTTTCCCATGGCATTTTTTTTTTTTTTTTGCCTTGCCATTTTGATCCATTTCTTTGCCCTGCCGACAGTCTGAAGAGTTACCATGTAGCCCGATCAGAAGTATCTGTGTATGCTGACATTTCCATTCCATCTATCTCTGATTAGTCTCTCTGTATCTGTAGGTTTTTTCTGATGTATCTCATAAACAAAGATGAAACAGAGCACACAGGACAGGTAGGTAAACAGTGACCATACACCATCTTCTGAAAGAAGTGATAGAGAATCCATACACGGTGGGAATATGTGTGCATGAAACATGAAGAGTTGGAATTACTTTCAGATATTAGTCATAGTATCTTAATAAATTTCTGTTATCCTGGGCGAGTGTGCAAAGATCCCCTTTGTAGAAAAAGTAAAACTGTAAGTTCACATAAAAACTTTAAGCTTGTATTAGCTGAACGTGCTGAGTTTGGGTTTTGCTAAGTATAATGTCCTTGATTGCTTAATCAGATAGCAGATGATTTCAGATGAACTTCAACCCACAGTATTCGGGTCAGTTAAAAATAATTGTGTATGAAATGTCTAAGGTTCTCCTTAAGTATTTGAAATTCAGCCTCTGCAGATATCCGCCTCCAGTTGTTAACAGCTTGAATTTGAAGGATACAATTAATAGGAGTATCTGTAGAAGAACTCTTAAAATCATATACCACAAATAGGTTTTTTAATCATTATTATATTATGGTCCAGATGAAGATTGATTATTAATAGCATTCAGTGAGGTCTGGTATGGTTAGGAGCTCTCTAAATGAATATGGGCTTCTCCAATCATGTAAATTATGTGTAATTACACAGTTACCTAGATGTCTGACATATACATGCAACAAATTTGTGTTTCTTTCTGTCTTCTGTTTTGTGGTAATGCACAGACTCTGGGGAAAGACCTGATGTTAATACATTTCCTTTACTTTTCCAGGAATCTTATGTCTGGAAGATGTATCAAGAAAGGTGCTGGGAATTTTTCCCAGCAGGGGACTGTTTCCGGAAACAGTATGAGGACCAGCTAAATTAGACTCAGACTCAGATCACCTCTGAAAACCAAAACATACACATTCACTCTTTCTGTCTCAGTCTCTCCCTTGCTCGCTCTCTCTCTGCTCTCTTGGAAACATCTTGCTGAATTTGTGAATTGCCAGCATTCTATGCTTTCTGGGAGCAGTGAACTCTGTTTCTGAAGACCTGACTGTGCTTCCCCCCCCACCTTGTGTATTTACTTTGAGAATAAAGACTGAAGAGTAACCTAAACTCATACACAAACTAGGAACTCTGGAAAGAACAGCGTTTTGGACACTCTCAATCGTAATGCCAACAGATCGATTTCCTTCCGCGACTCCTGGGAAGTCCCCTTGAGCTATGGGACAGTCACAGAAAAGCGTGACAGCCACACTCATCCGGCCTCTTTATTTCACCATCCTGAAAGGAACTTTCTAATGGTCACAGAGCACTGTAGCACTTAAGAGATTGCCGTGGACACCAGTTACGAAGGGAAATAGTGCCTTACTATATGTGGGTTGAGCTATGCAGAAGATACGTGCATGAAAAAAACATCTTTATTTTCTTTATGTCGTTTTTTTTTTGTCCTCAGATTGATTTTGTGGGTTTTTTTTTTCTTTATTCTTTTCTCTGGTGGGGGAGGGTAAGAAAAGCAGTTTGTGCGCACATTTAAAAAAAAAAAAAAAAAGGACGGGTGGCCTGTCTCAGGATGAGAGGAGGCTCTTCTCATTCGCTAAATTCACATTTACCCTCCCCATGTGCTCCTGCTCTTATTTTGGTAATGCTCTGATGCAACAACGCAACTTTATGAAATCTTTGTATGAAAACAAAAAGACTGCAAAAAAAAATATACTTTCAAAAGAAATAATTCATTGCATGTTTATTATGCAAGTTTAAAAGAACAAAGAAAACCTCCAGAAGCAAGCTGATCAACGTAAGAGAACATTCATGATAATTATATTCATAGTAATAAAGTGTCGTGGGCTTAATTGTACGTTCGGAGCCAGTGTCATCCACCAACAATGTGATACATTATAAACTTGACAGTAGTTTTGGGGTTTTTTTTCTCTTTCTTTTGGCCACCTGTGATCAGTTGCTGATTAAGGACTTCTTGTCAGGCCATTTTTTAATATCAAAGCTGAAGCAATATCCATTCAGGGATTTCATCAGTTGCATCAAAAAAAAAAAAAAAACCACGGATGATTAATTATCACTCCATTTTGAGTCCTTTTAAATGTAATGCTTTATCTTTACAAATAAAAAGACAGATTCAGAATGGAAGCAAGATCATTTTGCAAACATTGGAGCTCTTTTATTACGAGTCTGCTTGTTAATTTTAGAATTGTAAAACTGCTCTGATTAAACTGTTTCACTAACATTCTCACTCTCTTCTTTCCCCGTTTCACTTATAGTGGGGAGGCTTTATAAAACCTTGAGCTTTTAATAACATGAGGGGGGTCCAGGGCAATGCAAACCCTGCCATACAGCCTTTAACAAACACCTGAAATTTCCCTGTGGCTAAGCAAGTTCCCGCCTTTAGGATTACAGAGCCCGAGTCAGCAGGCAGTTTGAACGCCCTACCCCCTCCCTGTCATTTCCCTGACTTGCGGCCATCCCAAGTTCCTTAAAACCACCAATGACAGAAAAATCACTGTCTCCCAAATCATTTAACTTTTATACAGCTCTCATTCTATAAGGTTCTTCCTTGCTCGGGGCAAATGTTTCCCTGTAATAGCAGGGGTTCATTTTCTGCCTTCGTATGAAAGAACGGGTACACTAGGAATGGGTGTATTAAACACTCAAAACACTAATTGAACACTCACTGTGTGCCAAGCACTGTGCTGGGTATCACCTGTCATTTGTCACTTTACTGACACAACACCAGGGCTGTGGTACCTAGATTTTGCATTTGTCTTTTGGTATCATTTTTGTTTGGGAGAACGAAGGGAATCAATTTGGCCACACCATGGGAACTCCCAAGCCTGCCCAGGGACATGCTCTAAGCTTCCCAGGAGTCTGAATAAAATAAATCAATCAGATCAGCTCCATAAAACATAAAAGCATGTTCCCCTTTGCCAGGAAACACCGCAGAGGAAGCACACAGAAAACAGGAATATTATTTCTCCAGGACATAAAATCTGCTGATAGATTCAGGTCTTCTATTTATCAAAGGCAGGTTTGATATGAAACAACAGCACAGGTGAGAGGTGAATGAACAAATGCCTAGTTGTCAGTCACCCGGCCTGGATTTTGCAGACTTGTTGACTCTCCTAATTGATCACTCCTGGCTTTAGTGCATGGGAAGGTGACAGTGCTCACAGAGAAGCACGAAAAAGGCTGAATTCTGGAAAGGAAGCTTCGCCCCACCCACAGACTTTGGGCATCAGCGTTGAAGGAAGAGTAAGGGAGCAGAGCCAGTCACATTAGAAAACCACCCACTGCCCAGCCTCATCATGGCCAACACTTAGGGGAGGTCATCTCTCCATTCCCTTCTCAAGGCCTCAAGGGAAGAAGGGGCTTTTCTGGTTCACCATTACTAATTCTCCCAGGAAATGTCACATGAAGTCAATGAGGCTCTCCACGTCTGATTAAACTCACGGCTGCTTGACTCAAGCTCCAGAAATGTAATCCCTTTAGAGCAGTTGTATTATACGACTATTCAGACCTTCACAACAGACGTTATGATGTCTACATATTTCCATCTGGACGCTCACAGACATTCTTGTTTCTTTCTCTCTTCACCACCCCCCCCCCCGTCCCCCGCCCCGGAAACATGTCTTGATCTAACTCCATCAAGCAAATGTAGAATCACAGTTGAAGTTTTCCAAATGCACTAAATGGTACTTAGTCGTTGGACTGATGCTCATTAGTTCTCATGTGCAGGAGGCTGTTCTTAGCCCCTCAAAACATCATTTAAAAGTTATACTGTAATGAAAATACTTTCTTCCTGACTGTAAACGCTTATCTATGAAAGTGATACCTTTTTTTTTTTTTTCATTATCTTGCTTTAACTGGTGTAAGTGTTCCTATTCCTTAAACTCTAATTTTCTGGGTGAATATCCCAATATACCTCCCCCCTACCCCTGCCATTGCTGGAAAGGGCTTTGGGTCAGTGTGGCGAGTGCTTCATTTACTCTGGACACGGTAAAGGAGAACTTTAAAAAAATGTATTTAATACATTTACCTAAGCCTGGTATAACTTGACATGGAAAGCTTTGGACAGTTAGACATTCTCCAAATTATTTTATAAGTATCTACTGTGTGCTAAAGAAGACAACCTCCCTGTCCCCTTACTGGTGACATTTCTGTCCAGCAGTCTGCAATACCTAGGACAGAAACTGGAAAAGGAGTGTCTCCATATTGGGACAAGTGCATGCATGGCACCTGGGTTTTTTAATGGCCGTAAATATAAATAACACATTTCTTAATGGGACAAGGTCTGAAACTATCATATCATCTAGATCCATAATATTCAATTGTGTGCTAATGCGAGTATTAAACAGGTAGCTAAGTAGGTCGAGTTCCACGTTCCCCAAATTACAGAGTATTTATAATGTCACAACTCAGTACAGAAACAGCAGCGGAAGCACTACTTTCCTTGTATGTATAACATTTGAGGCTTTCTAGAACATTAGAGATGGAAAAGACTTGAGCAAGCATGTTTCAGACGAGCAATCTAGGCAGGTTAAACGTCATAGCTCTGGTTAGTGGCAGAGCTGGAGCTTTTCCTAAAAAACCAGGTTTCTGTTTAATCTTTTTCCTATTGTGGCCAAAATGGTTTGAAAAATAACAGGTTCTTTATGACCCAGCAAAAATGAAACCGGAAAGCGGTTAGTACAAGCGCTTTAATGAAATGTCACCAGTGCCCACCGACAGTCTGCATCTGTGATAAGGAGAATTCTGGAAGTGATTATCAAATGAATAGCTGGTTTCAGAAGGCACCACTGAACACAGCTATTTCTGAGAAAAAGAAACTTAGCATCAATTTTAATCCAAGACAGGGAGGCAAGATGGCAGAGGAGTAGGGTACCCCATTCCAACCAGTCCCCTGAATTTACCTGGATATCTACCAAACTATTCTGAACACCCGCGAAATCAGCCTGAGATGTAAGAATATATATCTGGATCTCTACAAGCAGAAAAACACCACCTGCTGCAAGGTAGGAAGGGCAGAGTCGTGAGTCTGTGGGGAGATATCAGAAGAAAAACAGAAGGGGGAGGGAGCTGCCCTAAGCTGACACCTGGAAAGTGATATAACACCTGAGCACAAAAGCGTCCTGCCCCGGGGGAACAGCATAACTCGAAGAGCAAGCGGTAGCAGCTGGGAAAGGGCTTTAAGAGCAGCACTCAGGCAGGATCCAGGAGCTTGGGGGGGGGGGGGTGCACGTGCCTAACCCGGGATGGACTTGAGGTTTTAGAAGCACCAAGGGCAGGGACACGCAGCAGGTTCGTGGGATCGACCTCTGAGAGTCACTGTGGGCACGCACTACTACGGGAGGTGACGGTTTTCAGTGGTGCTTACAGAAACGGAGACTGTGTGTTTTGGAGGGTTTAGTGAAGAGAACAGGCTGCAATTTCTCTGCTCTGGGACAGAGGTTTGGGTGGGGCTGTTTTTGTTCTGACCCTCAGAAGAGGTGCAGAAAGTCACCAGAGAACAAAAGCTCAAAACACCGGTTTCCATGGAAAATAGCCCCCCCCCCGAGTGGGGGGGAGGGCAGAGCAACTCTGCCCAAGCAGCGTTACCTGAGAAACAGTGCCGCAGGCCCCTCCCCCAGAAGACAGGCTGGAAGAACTGGAAGAAGGAGAGGACAACAACGCTATGGTTCCCATAAAACTGTAAAATCCCAACACCAGGGGAAATAGTATATTGAGCTCTAGTCGTTGCCTCGTGGCTTAGTTTTCAGATACAACTCTCTTTATTCTTTCTCTTATGCTGCTTCTGTTTATTTTATTTTTTTAAATATATTATTTATTTATTTATTTATTTATTTATTTGACAGAGAGGCAGAGAGCACAGGTAGGCAGAGGGGCAGGCAGAGGGAAAGGGAGAAGGCTGGGTGGCTCAGTCGGTTAAGCAACTGCCTTCGGCTTGGGTCGTGATCCCAGGGTCCTGGGATCGAGCCCCGCATCGGGCTCCCCGCTCAGCAGGGAGTCTGCTTCTCCCTTTCCCTCTGTTTTTTCTTTTTACCTTTTCTCATTTCAACTAGATGTTTAATATATCATACTTCATAGGTTTTTAACTTACACTTTTTCACACCTATGGTTTTTTATAGATACATGCTTCAATGTAGTCCTTTTTCCCTATTCATTACCTTTATATAATATATACAAGTTTCACTTTCCCTGTGATTTTGAGTAGTGTCCTCTAACAAAGAGAACAAAATACACCCATGAACAACTGAAACACCCTACTTTGTCCACACTGAGAGATTATAGCCCGCCTTCCTCTCACCCCTCCCTTTTTAAAGTTTTAATTTTTTTTCTAATTTTTTTTTTAATTTTATAAATTTTATTCTTGCGTTTCATTTTGGCTTTGTCTTTTGGTGGTGGCTTCCGACCACCCTGGATTTTCCTAGGGTGTATCTTGCTTGGGTCGTGGTTGATATTTTGGACTCTGTACATTCCCTCAACCATCCCTCAACAGAATGAAGAGGAGGAGGAACTCCCAACCAAAAAAAGAACCAGAGACAATGGCCTCTGCCACAGACCTAATCAAACAAGATGTCAGAGACAGACTTCAGGGTAGCAATTATGAAGTCAATTGCTAGGCTTGAGAAAATCATTAGCAGAAATGAGATCTAATCAGGCCGAACTTAAAAATGCTATGAATGAGATGCAGTCTAAACTGGATACTCTAACAGCCAGAGTAAATAAGGCAGAAGAAAGAATTAGTGATCTAGAAGATAAGCTGATAGGAAGGAAGGAAGCCGAGGAGAGAGGGATACAGCTAAAAAGCCCATGAGATCAGACTTAGATCAATGATGCCATGAAACGTTCCAATGTCAGAATTACTGGAATCCCTGAGGAGATGGAGTGAGAAAGAGGACTAGAAGGTGTATGTGAGCAAATCGTAGCTGAGATTCCCTAATCTGGGGAAGGAAACAAGCATTCGTGTCCAAGAGGCAGAGAGGACACCTCCCGAGATCAAGAAAAATAGACCAACACTCCAGCACGTAATAGTAAAGCTCGCAAATCTTAGAGCCAAGGAAGCTATCCTGAGAGCAGCTAGGGGGAAGAGATTTCTTATATACGGAGGGAGGAACATCAGAATAATGTCAGACCTATCCACAGAGACCTCACAAGCCAGAAAGGGCTGGCAAGACATATTCAGGGTACTAAATGAGAAGAACATGCGGCCAAGAATACTTTATCCAGC